CCAGGAGAGCACAAGTTTCTTGGAGTGACCTTGCGTTGTCCAAAACCTTGATATATTTTGGCGTAATAAGTCACCCTTGTCGCAATGTAATTTTGTCTCAGACCTTAAATTCAACTGGGAGCCGTTTTATTAGAAAATTGAAAATGTGTTCAAGCTTCAAAAGAAATGTTTCCAGTTTATTTATGAACTTTTATTTCTCTACATAAACTATATGTTTTATTGTCGGACGCACTTTTGATATGATCGGCCTTAGAGAATCGTAAAGATATTTTTAGTTCGATACGTATTCGATAATCTTAAAGAAATTTTTATTTTCACCTATTATATATATGAATGCTTAGCTTAATATTTAGCCAGTATTTTAAGGAAAACATAATGAGGAAACCTGCTTATAGGCTCAAACCCAAAAACTTAAAAAAAATGGTTGTCTGTTGGTTTACAGCCGGTTTATGAACAAAATTTAATCATTTTTATGGACTTATCACTATTTTGTATAGATACAAATAAGGAGTGAATCCTCGGACGCATGGGTCAATCGGGTGGGAGAGCGTTTTCGTGCTTGAAGCCGGCGTTCATCGATTTATTAGACGTTGTCACGTCAAAAGATAAAACTCAAAAAGGCACTACATAGTAATAATTTTATTCTCATAATTATCGATCATCCAGATCAGTTTACAACCTATGAGCTACTCTTTCTGTTCTTGTAGGTATTTAAAAATCACATATATATATCTAAGACACATTGCAGAGTTATTCTACGTATAATTTGGCAGACTGACCTTGTACTGGGTAAATTATTGCTGTAGGCGTTAGCAAATTTGCTCAACGATCGTACGGATTCCTAATTAAAGGGCTAACGTACAAATACAGGCAATCTAATTTAGGAGTACTACAAAATTTTCTCTGCTTATGTCACAAGTTAGATTATAATCTATCTTGTATTGTTTGTCTTCGATAGATTTTTAAAAATTGCATTCATTAAGAAAAACAAATGTATTAAAAATATTACCTTTACAGCTGCCAGCGTTAAAGGTACACTGCCACAGGGACCAAACTTTTTAAATTTGTTTAAATTTTCTTTTTATTAATTTTTAATTATTATTTCTATGTAGGTTAAGAAAATTGTAAATACTCTATATTTAATTGTTATGTTTACAAGACAAATACAAAATTGAAAAATATACAAATTTAACTAAACTTAAAATATCATGTATAAGTATCGCAATACAGCGAGGAAAATGCTCCACGTTCAAGGTACACTGCCACAGGGACTAAACTTTTTTAAATTTGTTTTAATTTTCTTTTTATTAACTTTTAATTATTATTTCTATGTAGGTTAAGAAAATTGTCAATACTGTATATTTAATTGTTATGTTTACAAGACAAATACAAAATTGAAAAATATACAAATTTAACTAAACTTAAAATATCATGTATAAGTATCGCAATACAGCGAGGAAATGCTGCCAGCGTTCAAGGTACACTGCCACAGGGACTAAACTTTTTTAAATTTGTTTTAATTTTCTTTTTATTAACTTTTAATTATTATTTCTATGTAGGTTAAGAAAATTGTCAATACTGATATTTAATTGTTATGTTTACAAGACAAATACAAAATTGAAAAATATACAAATTTAACTAAACTTAAAATATCATGTATAAGTATCGCAATACAGCGAGGAAATGCTGCCAGCGTTCAAGGTACACTGCCACAGGGACTAAACTTTTTTAAATTTGTTTTAATTTTCTTTTTATTAACTTTTAATTATTATTTCTATGTAGGTTAAGAAAATTGTCAATACTGTATATTTAATTGTTATGTTTACAAGACAAATACAAAATTGAAAAATATACAAATTTAACTAAACTTAAAATATCATGTATAAGTATCGCAATACAGCGAGGAAATGCTGCCAGCGTTCAAGGTACACTGCCACAGGGACTAAACTTTTTAAATTTGTTTTAATTTTCTTTTTATTAACTTTTAATTATTATTTCTATGTAGGTTAAGAAAATTGTCAATACTGTATATTTAATTGTTATGTTTACAAGACAAATACAAAATTGAAAAATATACAAATTTAACTAAACTTAAAATATCATGTATAAGTATCGCAATACAGCGAGGAAATGCTGCCAGCGTTCAAGGTACACTGCCACAGGGACTAAACTTTTTTAAATTTGTTTTAATTTTCTTTTTATTAACTTTTAATTATTATTTCTATGTAGGTTAAGAAAATTGTCAATACTGTATATTTAATTGTTATGTTTACAAGACAAATACAAAATTGAAAAATATACAAATTTAACTAAACTTAAAATATCATGTATAAGTATCGCAATACAGCGAGGAAATGCTGCCAGCGTTCAAGGTACACTGCCACAGGGACTAAACTTTTTAAATTTGTTTAAATTTTTCTTTTATTATTACTACATATTTAGGTTAAGAAAATTGTAAATACTGTAAATTTGATTGTTATATTTTGGTTTTATTAAACTCAACAATATTTTTGTTGAATCCAATTTCAACTCCTACTGAATACTAAATTCACACACGTAGTGTTAATTTAAAAAATAAATATATCACCTTAATATGCTAAATGTGTCAAATGAGAATGGAAACGTTTACATCATTTAACTAGTTGATATTTATAATTCCGTCACGATTTGACCGCTAAAGGGATTGATATTCTAAAATGAATTTCACCCAACAATACCGCCAGTCACACACATTGCCAAAGGGTTCGTAAGTGCCTTGCCGGCCTTTTACGAATAGGTACTAAAAAGACAATATAGATCTTAAATAATGTGTCAACGCAGCAAATTTGACAATATTTACATATGTATTATTACACGTTTGAATTTATATATAAATATAAACATAATAAAGTCGTGACTAATGTTGTTTGTACGTTTACACACTATTTAGCAAGGCGTGACATACATATTACGAGTACAATGTATTTTGAATACAATTGTTGAATATTTTTTAGGAGAGTGGTCAGAGTTGTTTGGATCAACACCTGCAGCTGAGTTTCATCATCGGACATCGAGGGAGAATACGAAATTCCACCCGTATCACCGCGACGTCCGACGTTTCACATTTGAGGTATCCAGCAGTTTTTGCCGCGTACCACAACTTTGTGCAACCAGCTGCCCACTGAAGTATTTCCGAACCAATTTGACTTAGGGTCCTTCAAGAAAAGAGCGTACCAATACTTAAAAGGCCGGCAAAGCACTCGCGAGCCCTCTGGCATAGAGTGTCCATGGGCGGCAAGTACCATCATATGAACCTCCTACCCCTCTTTCCTATAAATAAATAATAAGATCTCTAGATAAAATTTGGAATAATTTTTGTCATTTAAGCATACAAAAGTTATGTCTACAATATTACAATTCACGATGGTCGTAAAATTATAACAAAAAGGTAAAAAAAAATAATGGCGCTATAATGTGTGAGACAATAATCATAATTGTAAAGTAAAACTGGGCTGTGATCAATCAATATTCATTACTAATTGACATTATAATACGCGATTGTTTAAATGACCTTGTGTATGTCATAAAGGATTCTTGTTATTTGTCGATTGTCTATATGTAATATATATAATATGCAATAGGTACCTAGGTAGTCTACTTCCTCATTCGGACATACTAGACTTGAGATTTATGATTAACTAGCGGACCCAACAGACGTTGTCCTATATGATATTTCAAGCTATTAGGATATTAAACAAAGAATTATGAATAAATTAAGCGGAGAAAAATGTTTGACCTACCACAGATCAACCTATTAATTATAAGAATATTAAAAGCGAAAAGAAATACTACATAAAACTTCAACTTCAAATATTACGGCGTTAAGCCAAAATTTCTTGACAGAATGTTAGCAACCAAAATTATCTTTGGTTGCAGGATTTAGGTGAGGGCAACCGGGGCCTCCACAAAAGAGACTTTACTCTTTCCCTCCCTCTAAGTCTCAAGTTAATCAAGGAAATCTAAAGTTTTAGATTTGTATAAATATGAACAAGAGTTGAAAATTAGTTTACAAAAGAATTTTCACTTCTGATATGTGTACTTTGCACGCACGCACTTTTTTTTGGCTGGTACTTGGTTTCACAATAAATTATTAATTGAAAAACTCGACTGTTTTTTTTTTTAAATTTTAATTGGAAAATAATGTGGGGCCAGGAGGCCTCCACTCTTTGTTGCCCCGAGGGCTACAGGCGTCTAAATCAGGCCCTGTTTGATTTACCGGAATACTACTTGAAATTAAATCTACAGCTTTCATACTAACATAACATAAGCAAAGAGCTCTGACAATCGAAAATTGAGTGTGGCTTGATTTTATAAACCGTTTAAGGATAATTCCTCCTAATTATATATAAAAACTAGGTCAATATCGAATAATCTTCCATAATGGACTTAGCTACTGCGTCTTAGATCCGACTCGACAAACAAGTTGGCAATTAAGTAAATTGGAATAGTTGACAGTATCTACAATGAAGGTTCACACGTGGAGTATATTTAGTAAACATATGAGGCAAATACACATCGTAATTCTTAGTCAATACTGATCTTTCAGATTCACAGCTTTTTAAACTATGTATATACTTCAGCAAGCTTACCACAAAACTTTAATACCGATTCCAATAATTGACCCAATCATTCCAAATTTTGACGTATTTATCAGTAGAGTTAGGTCGCTAGAATAATATTACGAGATACGAAATCGGAATCTCAATTTATTTCTATAATTTAAAAGTGGCAATCTTGACAATAAAAATTGAATTATTTGAATAATTACATGAAAGACCGGCACAATAAGTGTCCATGGGCTGCGACGGGATGCCCTTTTTAGGCGATCCGTAGGATCGTTTGCATATGGCTATAAATAATCATATCTTACATCCAATTATACTTAAAAGCAACCAAGTATTAGTAACGAAATCATGGGTAAACTAAATCGTGGGTAAACTAAATCATGGGTAAACTAAATCATGGGTAAATCAAATCACGGGTAGACAAAATCATAGGTAAATCAAAGTTTTATGTAAACTAATGACTAAATATTGTTTTTAATTTGTATAAAAAAGCATTCTGTGAAATGAAATGTATGTTTTATTTCAGTTCAACCATGTCAAGGAGTCTCCGTCGTGCTGCTAAAGAGCAACATCACCAGGCTCACAGCTCGTTCCATACATGCAGCCGGCTACCACCTACACACAGTGGAACATTTGTAAGTTATTACGATGCCTATAGGCAGTATATGTATGTTTTGTAAATGTTATGTTCACCGTAATTTTCATAACCGCAAGGCTTCTTTTCGCACATACGCAATAATAATGCTTTTGGACCCCGTAGACCCTCTACGACGTAGCAAATATGTACTTCGATTATGAGGTCTAAAATATATTACCTTATTAACCTTATAATGTTATCGCGTTTTAATATGGAATTTTTTCAGGTCAGTAATGGACGCACCCAATCTAGAACATGTAGCGGTTGAAGATCTGACAAAGATGCCTAATCTGAAATCATTGTAAGTTTAGCCATTATCATTTTTCATGTTCATTAATATCCATGTATAAACAAAATAGGACCATTGCATTACCGTATTACATTCAATTAGAAAGTTGAATGAAAAAACTAAACACAATTTGGTATTAATAGCAAAAGAAAGAGACGAGAAAGTACTTTAATGAAAAGCGTGCAAATAGTAATTTATTTTTAATGAATATGGGAGTATTTAAGGCTTTCTAACCAAAATGAACTATGTATTTTGTAGTAAAGCATTACATATTATTATTACAATAAACTAAAGTAGGCATAAAATTAATAAACTCTATAACATTGAGTTGCTATTTAATATAACTGATTACTAAGTAAAAGAAATGAGTCTTTAGATCATATTGAAATTTAACCCGGAAACCCTATACTTTTTTCTTAAGCTTTCTATAAATAATTTTTTTTAATAAAGTAGCATGATATTGCAGTGCTTTTTATTTTACAATTATCTATATAGAATAATGTACAAAGTTTTAACATTTCTAACGTTAAAAACAAACAAAGCCCAGTGGATTTCCATCGAGGACATTATATTTCTTATACAAAGAAAAGTGTCACGAAGTTAATTTACTTCAAGCAAATTTAAATTTGAATTTCCAAATAGATATTAGCCTTGGATTCAACAAGCATGGTGATCATACATTTTTAAATTATTAAATGATAGTGCTAGGGCGAGCAAAGCTCTAAAGCCGGGTCCACATTTGTAGCCTTTCGGGTTTCCTTCCCCCCTGCGTGGCGTCGGCGCGCCGTTTCATGGTTGGTTTGTTGGCCACAAAATCCCCCCCTTTTTATATCCCCCCGCATCGGCCGCGCCCCGCCCCGCCCCAGGCGTATTCTTTGTATCCGCCTCGGGCACGGCGGCGGGGGCCGCGAATCGATGGCAGGCATCCATTAATAATAATATAAAACAGATACTGTACCGATATATATTATAACCCCGAACCTCCTGTGTCGGTTTTTTCCCAACAACAAATGGAATACATAATTTTTGTATTTTCCTCTGTTGTGAAATTTTAAATCTCGCATCAATGGTATTCCACCATTTTTTTTTTGGTTTTTTAAACCCCCCCCCCCCCCCCCCCCCTTTTTTTTTTTTTTTTTAATTTTTTTTTAAAAAAAAAACCCGGGCCCCGCCCCCCCCCCCCCGGGGGGGATTTCCCCCCGGGGCTCCCCCCTGGGGGGGGGAAAAACGGCCGGCCCCCCCCGGGGGGGGGGGGGGGGGCCGGGGGGCCCCCCCCCCCCCCCCCAGGGGGGGGGGGGGGGGGTTTTTTTTTTTTTTTTTTACCCCCCCCCCCCCCCCCCCCCCTTCTTTTTTTTTTTTTTGGGGTTTTTTTTTTTCCCCCCCCCTCCTCCCCAACCAAAAAAAAAACCCCCCCCCCCCCCCCCCCTAAAAAAAAAACACCCTAACTTTCCGCTTTTCTTTCTTCTCCCCCCCCCCTTTTTGGGGGGGGTCCTCCCGCGGGGGGCCCCCTTTTTTTTTTTTTTTTTAAATTTTTTTTTTTTTTTTTTTATAAAACAAATGTATATATACAAAGCTAAACAAATTACATGACATACTCAACGAATAAGTAGACAAACAATATATATGAAACAGAAAACATAAGTAAGTACATTAATAGACAAAAAGAAAACTGAAATTTAACATTAAACGAACGACAATTTATATATTTATATAAATTGTCGTTTTATAATAAAATATAAATTTATATATACAATTAATACAACTATTAATTTATATATACAAAGAAAAAACTTAGTTGGTACTCCTAAACAAAGTCAAAGTCTTCCCGGCTCTTCCAATTTTTCCTCACATCCTCACATAATTAGTGTCATATTAGAAAAAACCCGAAACATTGGCGAATTACATAATGGTATAAACAGGTGGTGGCCAATCCCTTAGCCCTTCTTAAATTCAATTGAAACATACATCATTTTGTACTGAAACAGTATGTAAATTTTCAAACTTATACAAAATTATAACAATTTTCTTATAGCCCCCCTTAACAGTCAACTATCATAAAATTGTGTTTATCACAAATTTAAAATAACACAGAGATCACATATTATATTAATAAAATAAGCTAAAGAATTTATAATGGCCATAAATTTAAATTGGTCCGGTTCTACTGATAAAGTTTATAACATAATTAGTGCCTAAAATAAATTATTGCTTTCTGTGTGCATGCGAATATTCCTTGTTTATCGAATCATTTATGATAAAGCATAGATTTCAATTTATAACAGTGATTAATTTTTACGACAATTTCAGAATATTTTGCACTTAGTGACTTCATTGGTAATCATACAAACATTCTTTAGTATGATAATGCAATTTTAATTTGTTTAATGGTTTGCTAGTGGCGCTACAATCTTTTGAAGCTTGGGCCTCAGATGTCTGTATCTGTTTCATGATCATTTGTCAATCTCAGTGGCGTAACTATACCATCTGGGGCCCGTGGCAAATCATCTTTCGTGGCAATTCTTTTGATGGTGCCTTATCAGTAAAAGTCGTCACGTTGTACTCAGTTTAATTTTAATAAACTTCGAGATTTTCAGCGTACATAATTACACGTTGTATATGTCCCACTAATGGCCATAGGCCTCCTCTATTAGGCGAGAGGGAATGGTCTGTAGTCCCCACGCTAGCCCAATGCTTATTGGAGACTTCACATTCTTCCATAGAACATAATATCTCTTGGGCAGGGGCCCTCTTGAGTCGGGGTCATTTTGCCAACCCTGCCACCCTATTGTTACGCCACGGGTTAATCTAATAGGCAAGTAGGTGATCCGCCTGTGCCTGACACATGCCGTCGACTTTTTGGGTCTAAGGAAATAATAATGCTAAACAATACTAAGTTAACAGTGTTTAGTGCTAAACACAGTTGATTTCGGGTTTTATGTTAATATTCAGAAACAAGACTCCCCGCTAAATCTAAATCTCACCTTTAGATGTCATTTTCTCATGTTTTCCTTCACCGTATGAGCATATAAAATGTCATGATGAGGTCAAAGGTAACTTAAGACTATTTAATATTACTTCTATAGGAATTAATTAGCAAAGTGGGTGTTCATGGGCGGCGATGTCGCTTAACATCTAGCGATCCTTCAGTCGCAATCTATTTCTAACTTTATGAGAAAACTTTTAGTTTTACATGTAAGAGCTGGTTCTTGCATAACTATTAATCCATTTGTTCTGTCATCTACAATCTGCACTTACAAATCACTATGATGAGGTCATAAATCTGAAACGCGCTTACGAAGTTATTCCGGCCTCTGTGTCTGGTCGAGGATCCTCTCCTTGGGTTGTAGGAACAGAACGCCATCCTTCCACCACAGTTCCATGAAACCTTACCATGATGTTCCAACGATGCCTACAAAGAATAATAATACTTTATATATACCAAAAATACAGAGGAATAATTACGAAAGATTTGTTGATTGTAAAGAAATATTCATTACAGATTTATAACACAAGCGCCAAGGCTGCACAAGATAGCTCCGCTCCCAGCTCTGCCAGAACTACGCACATTGTACGTATGTATGTTTCTTATATGAACTTTTTATTACTTATACAAATATTATGTTAAAGGTTGATTAAAACCGGCACGGCGACTATAATTTCTTGTAGTCTGTGTATTAGTGGTGTCCTGTGTTGTAGCGTCTGGACATTGTGTCTCCAAGGACTTTATGATTGCTGACAGCCTGTTTTTGGGGAATGGATGAGAATTTCAATAGAAGGATTTAATTGTTGTATATACTTAGTAATATTTGATTCAATATAGTTTGTATTATTATTAAAAACAGATCTAAGTGTGATACTTCGATGCCAAAAAATGAATTCCAAGAACGTGCTATCCGCAAAGTTTTAAAATACATCCATTTCCTAAAAAAGGCGATCGCTCTGATCCCTCCAACTATCGCCCAAAAGGTATAACGTCCTTGTTCTAGAAAATGATGGAAACCATTATTAATGACTAGCTCCTGAGGTATCTAGAGGGCCATCAGCTTGTTAGCGATTGTCAGTACGGATTTCATCGTGGTTGCTTGGCTGGTAAACTTCACGTTTACCTTACACATAGGTGGGAAAGGGCAAGAAACAATTTTGACAAGAGTTTGGACTTCGATCGGATGTAGCATAGACCGCTTCTTACGAAACTCCTACGCGCTCCCCGAGAAATTATGCAAGTGGATTTGCTAAAACCTGGACGCAGAAATGTATTTTCCCCATAGTGAGGATTGAATGAGTAATTTCAAGACGGAATAGATCGAAAATATGAATTTTAATTTTGTTTGTAATATATAATATATTTATAATTTACAGTATGGTGACAACGTCAGGTCTGGTGGAGGTCCCAAATCTCAGTCATGTGCATGATCACCATCGGCAGGGGACGAATAGTTCCTTGTCTTATTTGCAAGCTATGTAAGTTAACTTACCCTTAAAGCAAAACTTGTGTTTAAAATACCTGAATTACGATTTTGTTTACTTTTTGAAGATGGGTGCACAGGATCTGTATGTTATGTTCGTGGTTAGTACTTTCAATATCCAATAATGTGGTCTCAGCTTCAAATACTGATTGAAGCCAAAAATTAAAATACAATATTCCCAATATTCATAAATAAAAAGGGTGCGTGTACTTATGTACGCGCCTAAGAAGTTATACTTCTTTGGCATTATTAAAAATAGTTTTTGATTGCATGCAAATAATTAATTACAATTAAATAATCAAAGACTGGAAAAGGAGCCATTATAGTCAATAAAGTTCAGTTTACATTTGAAAAATTAAATAAATAAATATTTATTATTCTCTTACATTAAGTGTAACATAAATTCTATTATTATATTCGAATGTTGTTTTTAAATTATGTCCAATGCCGTAGCATCTTTCTTGGGCAACTTCATTCTGTTAATTTTGTGTCACGGTGCGCGCGCATCGTAAAATTTCACTCTCATAAATTTTTCATAACGCGCCTAAAGAAGTATAACTTCAAAAACATCATACTTCAACTTCATAAAAAGCTTAAAAGATATATTTTTTTACGTTCTTTATTATTTTTTATATTGTACTAGCTGACCCGGCAAACGTTGTTTTGCCATGTATATTATTTTCTAGGATAAATTTTTTTTAGTTCAATAAAAATAACTATCTACCATAATAAAAAATTGGGGTTGAGAGGTGAAAATTAGGAGTTGTATGTATTTTTGTATGTTGTATCATAAAAAATAAATAATAAAAAATTGTCTAAAAATTAAAAAATAAAATTTTGGGATGGGCTCCCCTTATTACTTAGGGGTTTGAAAGATAGATAGTAGCCGATCCTCAAACTCACTGAATATTCATGAAAAATTTCATAAGAATCGGTCGAGCCGTTTCGGAGGAGTATGGGAACGAACATTGTGACGCGAGAATTTTATATATTAGATTGTCAACTTGGCATTCCCATTTGCTGTCATGTTGCATGCATCCAATACTCTTACTTTATATTTTGTTTGTCTTCTTTCTACATATACTTATTTTTTTTTAAGTATTTGCGTTTAAATAAAGAAATAAATAACTGTGTTTCATGTTTGTGTTTAAATGTGTATTCCGTTTATGGCAATTATGTATTGTAAATTTGTTAGATATTATTATTACTAGCAACAGGGTTACTAGAAATATAATTATAAAAAAAAAAAATGCCAGCGGACGTAGGACCGCTGTCGTGATACTTCGATCGTATCAAACACAGTTTTATAAGAGTTTTAAAACACTCACCCACTAATATAATATAATGTCTCCTGCATGGCCAGTCTTAATAATTATATATAATCCGCTGTAGCCGAGTGTACAAAATATTGTCATTAATAAAAACTGTTGTTTTGTTTTAGTGATCTCGAGGGTAATCACATAAAGCGAATACCTGCTCATGCGCTGCGTGTTCGCGCAGATCAAGTGTAAGTCACTAGGTACATATATGTTTTATGTTTTTATTTAATTATCGAATAGGACACTGGCCTACAACCATTTTGGTGCCGGGGATTTTAGACTTGATTTTAAGCATGCTTACATTGAGAAATCAAAATTTTTATAGTTTTTTTTCTATCAGCTCTAGTTTTCGAGATAAATAAAAAACAATTTTCACTATAAATATATATGTATATGGCTTTAAACATCAAGAAATTGTCTTTTGAGCGATTTTCTCGAATTAAATTGACTTGGGCAATCTCGCCAGCACTAGTCGGTCATCATATGAGTGTCCCAATAATAACACATAATTATGTGTTACTTCTACAAGGATATTGTATATTATACATTATACAGCCTTATCGTGAATTGTAGGCAACTCATATCAGATATCATTCAGGGCAAACTGGACGAAAATATAATTTTGTTGTATGGTTATTTTTTTTTTAAAGAGGGAAAACGGGCAGTAGGCCCTATCTGATGTTAAATGATATGAAGTCCGCCGCGATACTCTCAATAGGTCTGAAGTTTTAAATTTTCATTTATTTGAACATCCCTCCACCAACCTCCACCGAACTTATCTCTCGTTAATACATTTTTAATTAGTATGTAGTTGTAAAATTTAAATAATCGTCCAGTTTTTTTTTAAATATATGGGAAACGGTCTGACAGGAAAAATAGTTAAAAAATATAACATTAATTTACAGGTCTTTAAACTACAACCTAATAGAAGAAGTACCAGCGCACGCGTTCAAGAATGCACAGATATCCAAATTGTATGTTAATGTTACATTTACATATATAACATCTGATTAACTCAGACATGTTTATTGATATAATAATTTTTAGGAGCTTCAGAGGAAATCCGAATTTAAGAAAACTAGATGAGAATGCCTTCGATGGAAATCTTCTACTACGACAACTGTAAGTCTTTTTTAAATTCCACCTGTATCACCTCGACGTCCTTCGTTCCACAACTGAGCGATTTTTGAGGGAGTTTTTGCCGCGCACCACGACTTTGTGGAATTAGCTGCCCACTGAAGTATTTACGAACCAATTCGACTTGGGGTCCTTCAAGAAAAGAGCGTACCAATTCTTAAAAGGCCGGCAACGCACTCGCGAGCCGTCTGGCGGCGGTATCACTTAACATCAGGAGCCTCCTGACGTTTTCCCCCAGTTCTATAAAAATACGCATACGCCCTGAACGGGCTTGAACACTCCCCTCGCGAGGTAAAGCGTAACAAAAGTAAAACAGAGCCACAGGGGCCTACGAGCCAGCCGGTCAGTGGTTGAACTGGCTGAGGATCCTCCTTGAGGTTGGAGGAGCCGTACACCTCCCTTCCTCCACAAAGTTAACAGTTCTGCACCCGCAAAAGTCGTGTGAACGTCCACCCATTCAAATATAATATTACTTGTACTTATTATATAATAGCTATATTGTTTCTGTATGTGTTCAGCGTAAATAACTCTTATTTACTTTATTTTTCCAGAGATTTAAGCAATACTGCCATAACCTCTCTTCCGACGAAGGGACTTGAGAAACTAGAAACGTTAAAGATCGAAAAGACTCCTTCACTTAAATACATTCCATCTATATATGAATTTCAAGTGAGTATTGAATTCAAAAATATATTTTGTATATAATTTTTGTTAACAAAACCAGTGTCGCTACTAGGCATTTGCCTAATCTCGTATCGGTTTCGATATCATTTAATTTTTACATTTTGTCTTTAGCTGACCCTCTGTTTTTCATAATATTAAAAAAAATTAAAGCTACGATATTTTTAGATAGGTTTTAATATAATTTTATGACAATTAAAAGCTACGATTTTAAACTCTTCAATAGCTAACTAACCAGCATTTATTATAAACCTTTGTCAGAGCCTAGTACGCGCACACCTGACGCACCACTTCCATTGCTGCGCGTTTGCGTTCCCTGAAAGACACAACCCAGCGAGGCACGCATTATATGAAACTCAGATGGCGAATATGGCACAGGTAACTTTTATTTAAAATAAAAAAAAAATAAAAAAAATATGTTTATTATGGAACATAAGATACATGTATCACTTATTCCACGTCATTAAATTTGAAGGCATCCCTACTCATCGGCAAAGAAGACAGAGGGTGTAGGCCGAGAGAAAAAGCCGGCGTAAAAACTCTCGGTACTCTTTTAAAACAGCAAATCATCAAACAACACTTATTTAAAACAAATATCGCAAATTAATTAGAAGTAGCCTGTCTAGCACTAGTCCCAGGCCCTTTTATCAACTAGATAATCGTTGACTTTATAGTAAGCCTTTTTACACAGCTTTTCTTTAATACATTTCTTAAATTTATTGAAAGGCAGTGATAAAAGAGCCTCTGGGATTTTATTAAAGAAGAGCATCCCTTTCCCAAAAAAGAATTACTAACTTTAGATAGTCTACTACGGGGAAATTGCAGCCTGCGTTTGTTCCGTGTATTAACATTGTGCGTATGTTCTATTCTAGTAAACTTATCACTATTTTTGTATACATACATAATATTTTCATAAATATATTGCGAGGGAAAGGTAAGTATATTAATTTCCTTGAATTTATCTCTAAGAGATTCCCTACATTTTAAATTATAGATTGCACGAATAGCCCTCTTCTGCAGGATGAAAATAGTTTCGACATCAGCAGCATGACCCCATAATAATAAGCCATAAGTCATTAAGCTATGAAAGTAACTAAAATAAACAAGTCTAGCTGTATCGACATCAGTTAGTGAGCGAATTTTTTTAACCGCGTAGGCTGCAGAACTAAGTCTCTTCGCCAATCCGTTAATATGAGGGGACCACTGAAGTTTTGAATCCATGGTGATTCCGAGAAATACAGTTGTATCATCCAGATTATTTAATGTAGGCATTTTTGCCAGATTAAGCAAACTTAGTCTAATGTATAAGAGGACGCTTCAGAAGAGTTGTTCGGATTAATACCTACAGCTGAGATTCATCGGACGTCAAGGCAGAATACGAAATTCCACCCGTATCACCTCGACGTCCGTCGTTCCACAAATGAGCGTTTTATTAAGGCAATTTTCGCCGCCCACCACCACTATGTGGAACCAGCTGCCCTCTTAAGTATTCCCGAATTAATTCGAATTAGGGTACTGTCTCTATGCATGGACAAATATACTAAAATTATTCTTTTTTTTGTTTCTATCAAAGACAATTTAAGTTATTATTATAGAGTGAAACTTCGCTTTGCATTTTATAAGCTCATAATCTTCGTTCGAGTGTTTAAAACCTTTATAAGATATTCAACTAAAATTATTGTAAATAACGAAGCAATTTTCCAGAAATGCGGTAAGAGCTACAAAAACACTCCATCCAAGACACGAAGATCACTGCCACCAGAATATATGAGACTATCAACGGTACCAATGCTGTAAGTATCTTACCTACAAATTAATACATAATTTTACAAGTAGTAATGCGAAAAGTGAGAGAGAGTGAACTCTTTTTAATTTAAAACTTTAATTGGAAAGTGTAATTATTAATTTATTGAATTTCCAGTATTTCCATAAATAGTTTTAATAATAATATCTGCACAATTGACAAAAAAACGGATAGGTACTCATTTAAACACAAACAAAAAAAACACAGTTAACAATTATTCTATCAAATAAAATTAATTAAAGTTTTATTAAAGTGTCGACTAACTTGTCGCATTTTGTGTTCTTACATTGCAAAATTGTTAATAATTTATACTAGATATTCTGGAGAAACAACATCCACAACTAGCGAAGAATATGACGGTACGGAAGAAGAATACTTCTCGGATTCCTCCAGTTTTGAAGATGACGGTCCAGGAGACTTCCATGACCCGGTTAACAGAAGTCTTGGTGTTTCTTCATTTGCGGAGTGCGGAAGTTTTAGCCATACGTAAGTCCGTATTAATTAATTTATTGAAGACAATTTAATCTGAACCTAAAGCAAAAGGCACATAAGGTGCTTAGGTGACAAATCATGAAAATCACAGAGTTTTACAATTATTAGTCTTCAAAAAGTCAAGTTAGTTTTTTGTTAATCCAGCGTCGCAACCCCACAACCTCTAATGTTATCTAAGTTATAAGCTCATGTTTTAAACAATTAAAGCTAGTTGTTACCCAGCTTCAAACAAAGTGTTTCATTTTTGAACATATCCATACATCAACCGCAATCGAACTTAACTTCAGTTAAAACTTTTATATTATTTTATTTATTATATTTTTTAATGTATTGTATTTTGAGAGAATAGTTTAGGTCGAGCCTAATTAACTAAGAAAAATATTACACATGAGTGTGTCCAATATATCTACTAGTATCAATTTCTGTTTGTATTTTGTGTTTTGCACTGAATAATAATACATCAATTAATAAGTAATCATAATATAATTCAACTATTTGATTACAGTCGCAGACAAATAGAATGCACGCCACTACCCGACGCTCTGAACCCTTGCGAAGATGTTATGGGCTGGTCATGGCTGCGAGCCAGCGTTTGGTTTGTAATAACCGCTGCAGTTGTTGGAAACATAGCCGTCCTCATAGTACTCCTCACAAACCACACAGAGCTAACAGTCCCGAGATTTCTCATGTGCCATCTGGCGTTCTCGGACCTCTGTACTGGTGTGTACCTATCTATGCTCGCAGTGGTTGACCTACAATCGTACGGAGAGTTCTTCAACTACGCTTACGACTGGCAATATGGAACAGGATGCAAAATTGCCGGATTTCTATCAGTCTTTTCGGGGCAGTTATCAGTTTTTACACTTACAATCGTGACTTTAGAACGGTGGTTCGCGATCACATACGCCATTTACTTAGATAGACGGATCACACTCTCAGCAGCAGCGAAGATTATGCTTGGCGGGTGGCTGTTCTCGATATTGATGGCTGGATTGCCGCTTGTAGGGGTATCCCATTATTCTTCAACGTCGATATGCTTACCCGTAGAGAGCGAGAACGTTGGCGTGGCTGTGTACCAGGGTTCACTGTTTATGACAAATGCAATTGCTTGGGTCACTATTGTTATATGTTACGTACAGATATATAGATCCTTAGGGGGAGGGGGAGAGAAATATGGCGGGAGGGGAGCCGCCGCAGCGGCAGAAAGGCGTATTGCTAATAAAATGGCATTGCTAATTGGAACAGACTTATTGTGTTGGGCGCCAGTTGCATTTTTTGGCGTAACTGCTTTGGCTGGCGTACCTTTAGTAGATGTAAGTCACGGCAAAGTTCTACTTGTGTTTTTCTACCCGCTGAACGCTTGTGCGAACCCGTTCCTTTACGCGATACTGACGAAGCAGTATCGTAGAGATCTCCTAACTCTTATAGCGAGGACCGGAAAATGCAATTGGTTGATACAGAAGTATAAACTAGGAACGCCCCCTCCCACCGCACAAACAAATCCTTCTGCGCCTGCGCCGCTGTTACCGCTAGTAGATTACCAAAGATCACAGTCACAAAACAAAGAGAATGGAGAAGTGATGCTTTAATTTTATACTTATTTGTAAATTATGATATTATTACTGTGTAATATTTGTTTTATTTTAGAATATTTTAATACATAATATACCTATATGTACACAGCTTTCATTTTTATAAGTGTCAGTCCTAGCCTTGGTATATGAGAATTTAGATTTTAGAGGTTAAAATAACTAAATCAAGTTCATTAAGCTTTGCCTAGATATAAACATGAACTAGATATAATCTGTATGTTCTTGATAGATACTAGAGACACTAAAACAAACCAAAAGTTATATTTTTTATTAAATACAGTGTTTATTCACAATTTATAAAAACTTGAGCAGTATCGTCAAGACAATTGAGTACATCTGTACTTATATATTCCATAACTAATTTATCGCCTTCTAATAAAATTTCATTTTTAATTAAATCTTGGATATCCACATCCATCTTGACAGGGCTTATACAGTAACCATCTAGCTGACGAAATATCCTTAACTTAGTTGGACCAACTTTGTTATTATCATTTTGAATATTACAGCTATCACATATACTGTCTATAGCTCGCCCGAGACTCCATGTTGCACTAATGAACACAGGATTTGTGTCTTTTAAGTCAGGATCTAAAACAACTGTGTCAATTTTCCTTAAATTCTCAAAATCGCTGATGACTTTTACAGGTTTAGCTTCCACATTTATAGGTTTTTTAATAGCAAAATAAATTCTGTCTTTTGGAGTTACTGTTTTTGGTCCTTTCGCCTTTTGTTTTAATCTCATAAGATGTATCTTTGACGCTGTTTTAACTTTGGCAGAAGACTGAAGGGCTTTTCTAATATTCTCCGTGATCTGAAAGCATTAATATTGTAATGACAAATCACATTATAAAAATAAATAGTTAAATTATACAATGTAACTGAAGCATTAGGCTAATAAAAACCAATGCTTACTAATAACCCTTGTGTAAAACAAACATGGTAATCTTTTTTTGAATGGAACCTTATATATGTTTCCTAAATTTTATTATATGTATATGTTTTTTTCCAAATTTTTTCTAGATAAGCTACCTTTTCTTGTAAATGTTTATTTGCTTCTTGAAACTGCCTTCTAGGAGCTTCTAGTTGTTCTATTTTAAACGCCATGGTCTCATCATCTATTTCTGGACATGACCTAAAATAAAAATTCAAATTAACTAAGATATTTTGACAATAAAAATAAATACCTAGAGATAAATAAGAAATGAACTAGGTAGATGTACTTTATTTGCTTTTACTGTTAAATAGTTCCTCATACAAATATTTTTCTATGTTCAGGTTCTTAACAGGAAACAAAAGATTTGGGTATGAAAGGCATAAAAATAAACCTCCCCTACATCTGCTACACAATTTTAATATGGTAAATAATTACTTAAAATACTTACGGATGAAATCTATGCTCTATACAAAAGTGTTTGTTACACTTGGTACACAACATTTCGTGAAGATTCCCTTTTCTACATCCTTTCTCTGAACACCTGAATATTTGGTCATCATTCTTAAGGTTAATTTCTTTTGGTTTTGGCGCTAATTCACAATCGCCCGAATGACAATGAGCATTGAAATGTACTCTGCAAAACACCTTCTTACATTTACATTGAAGTGGCAGGAAATCTGTTTGGTTGCAACTCTCGTACTGGCAGTGTTCCCCAAGGTCCGGAAATTCCATTTTTTTTATTTTTTGCTTATCGCTGGCAGTCAAAATGTTTCAACCTATCTTCTAAGAATTTATACTTAGCTCTTCAAAGCGTAATGAAATACATATTCACAAAATAAAAACACTTTTATGTAAATTATCTAGTAACTTTTTACATATTAAATGTACAGTTCGTTTTAAAAAAATCTAATTATTTGTACTACTTGTAAACAAACATGAATTTCAAAAAGTTACAAGATTCAAATGAAGACTGTTGAAAGTTCAGACTTCAGTGTCAAATCTCAAATGTCAACAGTCACTCCACGTCCACGGATATCTAATAAAATATAGTACATAGGGGTTTAGTCAAGATGCTTTAAACAGTAGTGTATGTAGAAAGTCGAAATCTTAATTTGTATAAAAATGTGTGGACAAATTTTCATACAAATTTAGTTTTCGAAAGGCATCTTGTCTAAGCCCCGCCGCTCGATTCTGCAGCTATCTGTTTTTTTTAAAAAGAAAATACATTTTAATTAATGTTGAGGGAGTACGCAAGGGATTAGCGATAGGTTTAGATTGCCTTTAAAAAATCGCTATAATCTGTTTGCAATCAATATTTTTTGTACAATTAATTTGCTGATAGGTATAAATTGCAACTACATAATATATGTTTTATTAATTTATCTATTATTATTAATTTAACGTCATTTTAAATAAAATGATGTAAAGAAGTTGGTTGAAAAAAAAGGTCACCAGTGACAGCTCTCAGTCAGCAACGTTAAAAGTTGACAGTTGTAATTTTATTAATGATTTACACTTTACAGACTTCTTTTTATTTAATTGTAATACAAAACTAATTTTATATACATATTTCCTATTTACGACACAGATAGCTGCAGAATCGAGCAGTGGGATCTTAGCCCATAATATACTAGTCTAAGAGTAATTTAAGAGAAAATCTATAGATAAACACATTTAAGTTCAGAATGTAAATCTACGGCTTGTACTTTGTTAAGAATTTCGCAAGACTGTAATGGATAACGAAATAAAAAATATTTCGCTTTAAAGGGAAAGTATGTTCGCTTGATTCGAATTTAATGAAAAAATTTTTACTGACGAGATGACGAGCCAACACATGTGCATTTATTTTCCGAGTAACTAAATCATAGACAACCAAATTAGAATTTCAAAGCTTCAAGACCCAATAAATATTAACCTCATATTGCAGTAAAATCATTGATATACAAAAAACCCAAGATGCACAGTCTCGAATAAAAGTAACGCTCGAAAGTGTCCCGAAACACTATTTCTGTCCATAACAGTATATGTTACAAGTATATAGTTGGTCCCAAAGTTCTGTCACTAGCACATTATTTCTAATTTCGAGCAGGATTTTATAAAAAATTATTGCATTCTATATTGGAATGTTTGATTATTGTTTTAAAACAAAAAACAATAATTTCCGTAATTTTTCACATGGAGTGGAATTGAAAGTAAACCGAATAGTTGTTATTGCGTTGCACCGCTGTGGACACTCCCGAGTACCATTTTCAAGTTGCTCAAAAATTTGAATATAACCTTAGGTTTGTGTACGGTACTATTGATAGGTACCTTGAAGTCTCCAGTGTTGAGGACAAGAAAAGAACTGGCTGGCCACTCCGCAAGAAACCAGCAGTAATCAAAGCTATCAAGGCGCGGATAGTAAAAATCCTGTCCGAAAACAGAAGTTGATGGATTTGCAGATGGGTGTCAGTAGGAAAACAGTAAAAAAGGTTTTAAATGAAGATCTTGGTCTACGAGATACAAAAAAGAGTGGGCACTTACTTAATGCTCGTCTAAAAGCAATAAGGCTTAAGAGATCGCGGGTGTTGTTTAAGCGGTACCGAAAAACCGACACCTGATATCCTCTTTACGGACGAAAAATTTTTCGATATTGAAGAGAAGTACAATAAACAGAATTATACATGTACCTAGGAGTTCTGAAGAAGCTGAAAATAAAGTTCAAGGGTGCAACATGGAATCATCATCATCAGTAATGGTTTGGTTGGGAGTGTCCTATTACGGCTAACTGAGGTTAATTTTTTCGAAAAGGGGTCAAAACCAGTGCTACATTACCAAGAGACGGTTTTGTATCGCCTTGTCAAAGAATTCAGCACCCTATTTGCGAATCACTTCGTGTTCCAGCAGGACTCTGCGTCTGCATACAAAGCCAAGACCACTAAAGCCTGGTTTGAGCGTCAAAACATCGTCTTAATTAGACATGAGGATTGGCCTTCCTCCAGTCCGGACCTTAATCCTTTGGACCAGAAATTATGACAGGGCTTAGAGAGGAAGGTCTGTGATAAACCTCATGAAAATTTGGAGAATCTGAAGTCATCTTTAAAAAAACCAGTGACTGAAATCGACACAATATGGTGCGTGCTGCGATAGACGACTGGCCGCGACGCTAAGGGCCTGTATTAAAAATGAGGGAGGTTATTTCGAATATTTTTATGCTTTTTTTATTCCTTAATTAATGTACTAAGAATTGATATATCACTCATTACAAACTGATCAGTACTTTTGTTTTTATCATTATTTCCATTTATGACAGAACTTTGGGACCGACTACGTATATTATTGCAAAATCAACCTTACGCGAATTGCTTAAAGTTGTTATTACAACGCAGTGTATACGTACTTAAAGCAATAAAATTTTACGACCGACCGTGGTCGGTAGGACAAAGTATTGAGTGGAGTCGAACATGACTTTTTTATTTACAACTATTTAACATAATTTTAAATTTATCCGACTTTTCGGGTGCTTTACAGCGTGAGTGGTCACGGTGACTGAAGACAAAAGGTGTTGGATGTTAAATAGTTGTAAATTTATAATAATACATAACATTAATCCGGTTAAAAAGTTTTTTCTTTAAATTAAAAAAAAATGTTAAATTGGCTACCTCCTGACCCACACTTTATATAGCGTAAATATATTTGTCAAAAACTACACACAAAAAAGTTCAAGAGTACATAAATTTATTTATAAAAAAAACACAAATAAATAACATCGACTCCACTTATAGACGCGAGACTATTTGAAATGAGCGCACAATTTAGAATGTTGCGCTCATTTTTTGAGGACGTTTTTTAGACGTTGATTGTGCATCTTGGGTTTTTGTATATCAATGAGTAAAATACATTTATTTATAAAAGAAAATAAATAGCTTTACAACACATTTCTTATACAACATTAGAAAACAGTTCAATTTATTTAAAACACTTTAAGTGTTTGTATAGCAGTTTCCAGTCTCAACATTTCTCCTTCGGTAGTGGTTAATTTTTCTGAGTTTGTCTTTTGAACATCTAATGGTACTTTTGTTTCGTAGTCATCTACAGCCATGGATTGCTTGAGTTTTTTCAATGATTGTTCCAGAGCTTCTTTCTTCTTTTCAAGTTTGACAATCTCCTTTTCCGCGTCGACCAGACCCTAGAAAGAATAATTTTAAAATCGTAAATCTTGAGTGGATATACCAATTTCTAATATGGCTCTTTCTAAGGTTCTATACATAAACGAGGTTAGTAAATATTTTGTATCAAATTAACTACACCGAGCTGATGATTTTAAACAAAAAAATAGCACATTCCTATTTTTTGATCGGTCATAATGAAAGGGCGAAAATATACATTGAAAATCAACATTGTGAAACTCAAATTCAAATTGTGTTAGGCATAGAAAATCTTCTTTAGTTGTTGCCCTTTCATTCTATCCTGTCTTCGGCAAGCCTTAGGACCTATTTAATAATGCCACATAACATTTATTATCTTAAAATTCATTCATTCATTTTTATTTAAACTTTATCGACACTCGAACGTAACCATAAAAACAGGTCTTGCTTGTTTCGCGCGTATGCGTGCACGCAACTGTGCACGCCCGCACGCACATGTGACTCATTATTGGATGCCCATATGCCTAACTTTTTCTATTATTTTGTAATCTTTAAACATTAATAAATGAATTAATTAATTTAGAAATGGTGATTATATCGTTCGATTTTTGTATTATAAGACTTCTAACAAAAACAAAATATGCTTCTCATATAAAATTGTCAAAGAAAAATTACCTTCAAATACAGATGCACCTCAATCTTATCCGATATTGGCAAAATAGAGCATCCCGCTGGAGGCGCTTCATCCACAAACCTACTGTTGGCAAGGCATTGCATCTTCTCAAACACATCTTTAAGAACCTTCAATTCCTCACTGAGAATTAAATAAACATCTGTTTTCGTCTTGTTAGGGATGTTGTATTCGGAGCGAGTCGATCTTATAGCGTGAACAATTTTCATCACATTTTCTACATCTGATTCTAAGTTTTTGGATTGCCACGGCGTGTCTGAAGCCTGAAATTTTATATAAATTATGTATATTTAGAATACTTAGTATAGAAAAATTTGTGCGCCTTGATACTTTTAAGTTTTCCGTAATTAGTTTTTGGTTGTATAAAACATAATTAACTTAGTGAATATTTGTATCTGATTTCGGTGTAAAGGATAGATTTCTATGAATTAATTTGTTAATAATTTATATTTAAATTGAGATATTGTAAACGTATATCTGTTTTATACTCCTAAATTTGGTATCTCTGTATAGTGACATTTGTTTTGTTTAACAAATATAATGTAATATATAAACATTCCCAAAAATCTCTTGGCAATAATTTGATTTTGTTCCATAAAAAAATTTGTATTTCAACAAAAAATATCGCTCTAACCGATTATAAAAACACTTTTATTTTTGCCTCAATAAACTCTGCTTCAATAATCCCTTAGATAGAAATCTTTTATCACCATTTGTTTGCACAAATCTTATGACTTATAAAGTTTTTTTTAATGAATACTTACTATAGGATAAGCAGCCACACAGATGGACGGACAAGAAGCATCAGCTCTTGGAAGACGCTGGTACAGCTCCTCAGTCACGAAGGGCATAAACGGACTTAGAAGCTTCAGGCCGTACTCTAAGACAGTGTACAAAGTACGTCTTGCCGCTTCTTGCTCGGATTCAGAGCCTTGAGCAAATACGGGTTTCAAATATTCCTGAAAAAATACACTAAAGTTAAAAAATAATTTACTATATATTTAAAAAAAAACAGTGGCGAATGTTAAATGTACATTGAAAGAAAGTCCGTTGGTGCACAGCCGGGGTTCGAATCTACGACCTCAGGGATGAGAGTCGCACGCGGATGCCACTAGGCCAACACTGCTCTTATATTTAAAATAGTAAGAAGAAAATTGTAAACTAAATAAATCGAAGTTGCTCTCTAGTTAATAATTATGTAAATAATTTATCAAGACTAATTTCTGAAATACAGAAAAAACACGGATTCATGAATTGCAATACAAAAGAATAAGAAATACAAGAATTACAAAAGTCACTATTGAGTAGGATAGGAAATGGTTAAGAAATGTTTATGCAGAAGAGTTTTAAAAGAAGTAAGAGAGGTAGCCAATCGTATTGAGTCGGCCTATTCCACAACTTACCAAGTACACATCGCAGAGGTCATAGAGCCATAGGTTATAGCAGGCGGTGGTGGCTGCTGGGAAATCGTAGTTCTGGAACCCTTCGTTCGTTTTATTCACTGCGTTGGACAATCGTGACATCATCCACTTATCTACCATTGACAGAGTCGACGGTAGAGGACCAGATTCGTGTACCTGGACGACATTTCTTTATTTAGAAAACCTTACGAAATACAAAATAATTGTTAATATAGAAACGCCAATTAAACAATAATAAATACAGAATGCGTGTAGGATGTGAGTGTGTAACTGAAACTTAATCGGCTTGATTTAGTGACATCAAATGTCTGATAGTGAGAGGATATCTTTTATGAAAAGACATAATATGAACAAAACCTAGATGAAATTATTAAAAAATAAGAACGAATACAGTAATAGTGTAAAACGTATTGTTTTTGACATACGGGAGTTACACTTAGCGCTAAGTGTGGACTTTTGAATAACTATAACATTTCCTATGTTTTGCTTCACCGAGAAAGTATTGCGCACTTTAAAATATATAATCCATTGACACACAAGGCCATTATTAAGCTATGTATTTGTGATACTAAGCTCACGCGAACAAGACGTTTTTGAATCTATTTTATAGAAAATGTTTCATAGACTAAATATTACTACATATTATAAAATGGAATCTGAGATAGTCAAACTAATCGATTTCGAATGTACGTATTCTACGTATCTTGGAATTACTCTATGGTGCCAAAAACTAACAACTCTTAGCTACACTCTCGAATACATGCACAGTCTCACACCCATTCACACACCCACACATTCACACGTACATAATATCTTATAAGACCTGGACTAGCGATAGATGAATTCTGTCACAACCTATTTGTCATGAATAAGTTTTTTATTATTATTAAAAATGGAAAAAAACAAATGACAAAAACCTTATGTCAAACAAAAATCCTGTTTAATGGTATTTTATGTAAATATCACTAACAATAAAATTGGCCGATAAATTACCTTATAGACCGTGTCCTTAGGGAAGTACATGAAAGCGAATTTCGTTGCGTTCCATAACTTATTGCAGAAGAATCTATATCCTTGCACTCGGAGAATGTCCAAGTTTAGGTCACGGCCTTGTGTCATCGCACAGAGAGCAAATCTAAAAATATACAAATAACATAAATACGACATAAATTCTTCTTGAATAATATAGCTTTATTTTATTCCACAAACTTATACGTCACAAGAGATTATAAGTAAATAATATAGTAAAATGTTGTATGGACCAAGGCATTTCACAATTTGTAAAAAATAAATTGTGCGTGTACTAGGTGTACACACGTAAGAAGTGAAACTTCTTTATGATTTTATTTTTCGAAAAATGATCTACTATATGCAACTTTACAGAAATTCGTTAAATTAGATAAAGTTTATTATTATAGACATGAATACAAATATTTCATTTTACCTTATTACTACGAAGATTATTATAGAATTTCATTAATTGTAATAGAATTATTACTAGAATCGATTATATATTTGCATGTTTATATGAAATATATAATTCTATTTTTACAGCATTATTGCATATTTTGGTACTTTTCATTGATAGTGCTTATTTCAATAGTTAGGTATACGTGTTTGGCAAATATTGTATTATTCAAAATTTCAGTAATATACCCGATGCGATTGAGAAATTAGAAACAAAAAACTTTCCTCTATCCAGTCTTGAAAAATAGAAAAATTATTGAACAGAGTAATGCCCTTCCAGTTGACTATCGCAAAAAGTTCGTGGCAAATTAAATGCAGTTTTGTATAAAAACCCCGGTTTGAAAATTGACGCGTTTATCAACGGCACCGGACAAAGTCTGCCTGAAGAGGTCTCTGCAGAAATGGCGCCAAATTTTAAGTTCTGTCCGGTAAGTCAGTTGACGTAGAAAGGTCATTTTCAGCCTATAAATTAATATTAAGTGACAAACGTCACAAGTTTGCTCAAGAAAACTTGGAAAAATATATTATTGTTTACTGTCACAAGAATTATAATAAATAAGTTTATTAATTAATTCTATGTAATAAATATTAGTTTTATTTTTATTCTAATTGCATTTTTATTGTGCATATTTTATGCATATTTCGCCCTTTTTAGTGCATATTTGCATGATATTTTGGCATTTTGATAGTGCATATAATCCGATGTCTAATTATTACTATCATTGAAAAACGTGACGATTTGCTACAAAATTTCTCCCATACGTCGATAAAGAAGTTTCATTCCAACGCCGATAAAGAAGTTTGACTTCAAAAAGCAACATGGCGCGTAACCGAAAAATGTGACGCGTAATGAAAAAATGTTACACTAAATTTTTTTCCAACCTCGATAAAGAAGTTTCACTTCAAAAACGCGTATTATTAAATTGATTTTCTACGTTTATTTGTGAGTAGCTTATTGTTTTAATTAAATCATTGGCTATTTTGAAATACGTCGCGAGTTAACGTAAGACTCGCTAAATTTACGAAATAACCAATTTGACAAGATTTTTTTAAACCATTTATATAAACGGTTTAAAACTTGTAGAATAATATTAACCTAATATAATATAGGCCCCAGAGTCACTATATAATACTTAATATATTTACTATATAGATTAGTATACAGATATTTCATACTTTAAAGTATATTTTTGAAGTGAAACTTCTTTATCGAGGTTGGAAAAAAATTTAGTGTAACATTTTTTCGTTACGCGTCACATTTTTCGGTTACGCGTCACATTTTTGGTTACGCGCCATGTTGCTTTTTGAAGTCAAACTTCTTTATCGGCGTTGGAATGAAACTTCTTTATCGACGTATGGGAGAAATTTTGTAGCAAATCGTCACGTTTTTCAATGATAGTAATAATTCTATTACAATTAATGAAATTCTATAATAATCTTCGTAGTAATAAGGTAAAATGAAATATTTGTATTCATGTCTATGATAATAAAAGCCTTTTGTTAAACTTTATCTAATTTAACGAATTTCTGTAAAGTTGCATAGAGTAGATCATTTTTCGAAAAATAAGATCATAAAGAAGTTTCACTTCTTACGTGTGTACACCTAGTACACGCACAATTTATTATTATTTTGAAACCTGTCGAATTGGTTCGGAAATACTTCAGTGGGCAGCTGGTTCCACATAGTGGTGGTGCGCGGCAAAAACTGCCTCAAGAAACGCTCAGTTGTGGAACGACGGACGTCGAGGTGATACGGGAAGAATTTCGTATCAAATTATAACACTTATTATCATCATAGTTTACCTAGTTAAAATGTAATTTAAAATAAATTCAATTCTAGAAGTTCAAAGACTAACCGAAGAGCATCAGTGCCACACTCAGGTATCCCATTAGGGTAATCCTGCTTCTGGCCCTGCTTCGCTTTCTCAATCTCGCGTGGATCCAGGTTCGATTCCGCAAGTTGAGCGTGCAACTCTTCCAATGTGATGCCCGTTACAACATCCACTGGATCAATGACGTTGCCCAGAGATTTTGACATCTTACGACCATGAGCGTCTCGGACCATTGGGTGAAGGTATACTTCTCTGAAATATATTATTTTTAATGAATTTAAAGTGCTTGTTAGAGATTATGAGATAGAGATTACGTGGTCATTTGTTTTGTTAGAATGGCAACACCACGCAATATCATAGACATCTTAAATAAATCAGTGACACTATAACCTTTTTAGGTTTCAGATTTCTGCATCTGTTCCATGATCATTTGCCAATAGATGATCAGCCTTCTGCGCCTGACACACACACTTTTGACTTTTTAGGTCTAAGGCAAGCCGGTTTCCTTCACCGTTCGAGCTAATGTTAAATACGCAAATTGAAAGAAAGTAAATTGGTGCACAGCCGGGGATCGGATCTACAGGGATGAGAGTCGCACGCTGAAGCCAGTAAGCTAACATTGCTCATCATAGACATCTTACAGGTTGTAAATTGTCAACGTGTCAAAGTCAAAATCTGGCCACTATTAATCGCTTCTAATCTGCGACATATTTATGGAAATAGCTTAATTCATATATTCGATGCCCGCACCAAACTTTATCTAGTTTCGTGGACCTCATTATATATATTTCGTGGTAAATACATTACAAAACCATATGATAAAATTTTTTGATTATATAAGGTGAAAGTAATCAAAAATGTTCTCTAGGTTCTATACGTTGTAAATGATATATAGTCTTTTCCTAAACTTACTTGAAAGGTAGTTTCCCCATTAACCGTTGCCCGAAGAAGACCATCCGTGCCACCCAGAAGAACAGAATATCATGCCCAGTCTCCAATAATGTTGTAGGATAGAATGCCTTAGGATAAACATAAATAACATTATATACAGCTTGTCAAAAATAAACTCAAACTCAAAATAACTTTATTCACATAGGTAACCAAGTACACTGATGAACGAGAACAGAAAAGATATTAAATTTATTCTAAATTTGAAGTTCGCAAGTCAAGGGCGTAGAGCGGGTAAGAAGAACTGACAAGAAACTCTCCAACACTCTTTTTAATCGCCAAGTTTTGAGTCATACAAATTTTTTGAACTGGAGCAAATCAATCCCAAGGATTAGGATCATTTAAATAATCGTCAAATTTATAAAAAGCTTTATTGATTAATTTACGTTTAACGAGAGTTTTGAATTTATTCAGTGATAATTTCGCTTGGGAGCTTGTTGTAAAAACGAATACAATTTCCATATAAGCAGTAGTTTATGTTCTGAAGCCTGGTTGGTCGTACGCTTAGATTAGTAGTTTTAAAATCGTTTATATTTTGTTGTACATACAACAAGGCTTCAAGAATATATTGACCAGATAGTGTCATCATATTTAATTCCTTAAACTTATTCCTTTTGCTTAAATAGATTTTGAATACATAAGCGACCAGTTATTTATATAAATAATATTAAGAAATCGCTTTACATAAATAAGTCTCGTAAGCCAACATTATTTAGAATATATAATAAAATTGACAGGAAGAAATCATGACCGCGTTGTAAAACACGCGAAACGCCCATTCAACAAACTCTTAAATTTATTAAGATAAATAAATTATATTAATTAATAGTTTTAATAGGCTGACCTTCAAATCATCCGTTTCATCCGGCCAGCCGAAAATCGCGAATGGGAACAGCCCTGATGAGAACCAAGTGTCCAAGACATCGTCATCTCGTTTCAAAGTGACATCTTCAGGGGCCACATTGAACTTGGTAGCTGCTTTTCTTCGAGCATCGTCTTCTGAATGTGCCGATACCCATAATTCTTCATTCTGGGAGAGTGAACCATTATTAGAAAACTGTTTTGTTAAATATTTTGGTACAGATACCGGCAAACATCTTGAACAAATGTCCTTGCCTGCGCAGAAGCGATTTTTAAGTATCACTGCGAGGGGGGGCGGCGGGTTGGGAAATCAGTTGACGTTTGTGTCCCGCGCGTCCCGTACGATGCGCAACCATTCCCCCACTCCCTTGTTTAATGCTCAAGAAGTTTGCCGGTATCTGTATAACATATTAAATGATTATGTTCGTGTACAATTTATAATCTTCGTTATGGAAAAGGTCGTAACCCTGACACATACTTTTCTTACTCTCCAAATTTAAAAATTTAAATGCATAGGCAATACTTGAACGGTCTCAGATACAAATAAAAATATTTATAGTTTTAGATGTCTTTTGCGTCTTCAGTAATGTTCAGAACCTTAAAACTAAGGGTCAAAATCCAGTAATTTTTTTGGTAAATTTTACATCCGATAGTTTTTTAGTCAAGCCAATGCAGACAAGGGAGAATATATATATAAAGATATATAGACAAAATATAGTATTACGTTAAGGTCGAGAAGTCAATAAATATTACATAAAATACTTTTAGAATATATCAAACTGTCTAACTCAGTAGTGCGCAATACTTGTTTGCAATGTGAATATCTAATCTGTTAACGAAACAGACAATGTAAAGCTGCGTATAAATTAAGCGCGGCAAACCATCGAACATTGGTGCGCGCGGCGGCCGCGCTCTATGTAGACGGGATCGCCGCGCGCGGCGACTCGAACATTGCCGCGCTCGAACGTGCCGCGGGTCGATCCGCTCGCTGTCGGTTTTTGAGACCGCATCAAAGGAGCTTCAGTCGTTGGCTCGCGCGCAGTTGGGACGGTTATAGATTTGGCTCGCGCGGCGAATACGTAAAAAAGGGTGCGTACATATACAGTTGTACATATATAAAGTTGGATTTAAATATTGATGACAAAGCTATAACTTATAAAGTAACTAATATAACTTATATATTAATTACATACAAAAAATGGGTGCGCGTACTTATGTACGCGCGTAAGAAGTTATACTTCTCTGGCATTATTAAAAATAGTTTTTGATTGCATGCAAATAATTAATTACATACAATTAAATAATCAAAGACTGGAAAAGGAGTCATTATAGTCAATAAAGTTCAGTTTACATTTGAAAAATTAAATAAATAAATATTTATTTTTCTTTTATTTTTTTTACAAATAAGATGGTGAATCACAATGAAAGCGGCAGCCACCCGACCACGCGCGTCCATACTCGCAGGTTTACAAGAGTGAACTGGTCTGACTATCCGCCGCGGTCTGTTCGTGATGGATCGCCTGCCGCGCGCGGCAGTCACGTCCAACTAAATTTATATCTACATATTGGCTCGCGCGGCAAATGAACGTCAACTCTGGTCGAACATTGGCTCGCGCGGCTGCCGCGCTTAATTTATACGCAGCTTAACGAATGCAAAATCACACGACTTAATACAGAACATACTCATATCATTACTTCTGGAATTAATAGGAATGGGGATATATAGAAGTATTTAGCAGGCCTACTGATTAAATCAAGAGATAAATTCTATAAAATTATTCTAGGGAGAACAATTTTCTATGGCAAAACACGCATTACTAAAGGAATTAAGAGCAAATCAATTCTATAAGCCAAAAGAAAATACAAAGCAACTAAAAACAAAAGTGAAATTAAGATTATTTTTTGATTATTTGATTGATTGATTTATTGTAAAAAATCGTGACAAAATATTTAAAAAAACTGTTACACACGAATGCAATGTTCACTAAAGTACATGGGTAATCAAAATATAGCATTTGTGATCAAGCAAAATCGACATGCGTACATACATTTATCTGTGTTCGTACAAGTCGCGAACGTTTCGGCGCTTTCTTTCGGCCCGAGCGAGTGCGTCGCCGATGCGGTTTTACGTACACTCGCTCTTCGGTACCCTTTAAGCGTTTATTGTTTTTTTTATTAATTTGTATTAAAAAAGCGAATTTTACTTGCCTACGTGGCAAATACAAGATTTAAATGCTTTAACACGTGACGAAGAGCATGATGTAATGGTTACGGGTGCTTTACAAACATTTTGTAAAATATGTAATACCTGGAGTGATAGCGACTTTATCACCAGTTCTTCTGTTCCGTTCAACGCCCCAAATATGAGAACTGGCAGTAAATGTTTAAAAACTGAACTATTGATTTCTGCCGATTTAAAGTGTACATGAATAAATAATATTTTGATTTTATAAACATTAAATAATGTAATACAATATAAGTTTGTGAATATCCGTCTTTAGAATATTTATCAGCCTTCTTCGTCAAATCGTCCTCTCACTGATTTCCTATAATACCCACGTCTGCTTTATCCGTGTATATGGGAATCCTGTATCATTAATTTGTCATTTTATTTTTTCTAGTTCCATAAAATATTCAGTGATTTTCCTTAAGCTATTGCTACTACGGTCATCTTAGTACTTATGTCCAACGCCTCTTCTTTATATTATATGTAAAGAGCGCCCAACGCGTTATCTCCTTCCGATGCCCTTTCATGTTTAGCCACTTTCTTAAAAACAAAATGTTCACTAACATTTCAAAACTCACAATACATTCACTAAAATCTTATACAAGATCATGTCAACTTGTCATCAGTTCAATTATAAAATGTGTTAAGTAGAAATTATTGTCAAGTCCCGTTAACATGTCAAATGGAAGAGAATAACACGTACAAACAGAAAAAAAGAGAATTTAACCCGCCCTGTCTGGCCCCACAATTCAACCCATAACGACTCGAGATTCATACCCATAAACTCTCTTGGACAATACAGAACTATCCAACTCTACCTTTGCCTTTTTGACCATGATCTCGTATTTCTCTTTTTCTTTCAGATACGCCTGAATCACCATTGCCCTTCGTACAGGTGCTGCGCACCGTATCCTTCTCTTCATGGTCTTTACCATTTTCCTCAACTTCTCTTGGTCCTTTGCATGCATTTCTTTCTGAAACGCATGCAAATACAGACTCAACTTCGTCCTTGAAAAAGGGAATTTGATTGAAAGAGCCTTTGCACTTGGACCAGTCACTTAAGAGTCCAGCCATTTCTTTCACAATATATTAAATATTATTGAATACTTATGGTTATAGAATCTTTAATTATTTATATAACACTAGTGGACCCCACAGACGTTGTCCTGCATGATATTTAAAGCGATTTGGATATTAAGCAAAGTATGAAAGTACCGACTGCAGTGCCATCTGCCGGGCTGATTTGTGAATCTAAACCATTCCCAGATCCCCTTGAACACACACAAAAAATTTCATCAAAATCGGTCCAGTCGTTTAGGAGGAGTTCAGTCACATACACACGCACACAAGAAATATATATATTAAGATAACACGGAAACATTTATATGTAATTAATTTGTTTACACCTACTATTAACAGCGACACAACATAAAAAAAGAATACAAAGAAACGATAACATCGACAAAAACACCAACAACTTGCGGCTGAAATAATACACAATGTAATTTTTATGTAGCCGGAGCCAAATGGACTGAAGGCTCATTTGATGTTAGGTGATACCGCCGCCCATGGACACTTTCATTGCCAGAAGGCTCGCAAGTGAGTTGCCGGGCTTTCAAGAATTAGTACGGTCTTTTCTAGAAGGAACCTAAGTCGAATTGGTTCGGAAATACTTCAGTGGGCAGCTGGTTCCACATATTGGTGGTGCGCGGCAAAAACTGCCTTAGAAAACGCTCAGTTGTGGAACGACGGACGTCGAGGTGATACGGATGGTATTTTGTATTCTGCCTTGACGTCCGATATATATTTCAATCATCGCGTACTTAACATAATATAGACCCTACTCCTTAAGGAACAAGGTTCATTATTGTACAAGTCGCAGCACATTAATACGTCAAGCTAAAAGTTAGATTTTTAAAACTATTATTTACCTCAGTAGAATTCATTTCTGGCAATCTGACTTTATACGCGGGTATCTGATGTCCCCACCACAGTTGTCTTGATATGCACCAGTCTCGGATATTCTCCATCCAGTGGTACCAGGTCTTCTCGTGAGCATCAGGAATAATCTTAAGTTCACCAGTTTTCACTGCTTTTATTGCTTCAGCCGCCATATTATTACAACGTATGTACCTATTAATTTATTATTTAATTTTTCATACAGCCAAAGAGTATTTTTAACAAAGCATTGTTATATATTTCTATTCCATCCTCCATTAAACACGAAAAACGAAGAACAGCACAATAATAGAAATAAAAAAAGCCGCTTCACGTCACAATAATTAAATTGTGCACTTTCAACGACAATCACAAATATACTAGATTTGAAGAATGCATTAAGACAAAACAGGGAAAAAAATACCATACAACTAGACCGCAAAAAACTTACTTAAATTTTCTTTTAATTTAAAAAGGATAATAATAGCAAATAATTAACACAGCAAGCATTTTCTAAAACGACTCGGCGAAAAGTCTCTATGGAGTTGCTGAAAATGTCCGAGACATTTTTCATCACAGTTTTATTGGTATTAGGAGTAGACGGAAGAAGACGATCGCCGTGAATTAAAGAGATGAGAGGATGATTTACCAGGTTCGCTCGAGATGGAACAAGATGGAAGGCATTAGAGGCTATAATATATATAAATATAATAATAATAAATATAACGTCCTATGGAATGATAAATCACATTGGTTTCCAGAGACCAAACATTAGCTTTAGGAAACGAAAATATTTTTTTAAAATTGTCTGTTAATACATAAACTTATAATGTTTTTTCCTAAAGTCTAACATCACATGGGGTTATGAGCATGGTAAAAACTTCATGTTTATACCAGCTGCAAATGACAACACAGTCTAAGAATAAAAAATCAAGTGTCTTTGACATACGAGGTTATCTTTTTATAAAGTGTCGATAATATCACGACGGAGTTTTTTTGTTTTTCTCTTACAAGTATTTGCCCTTTCTGCCTAAATATTTCCTTTTAAAACAAGCGATGCTAGTCTTGTCAATCCGGGAGTAAACATATAATTTTCTAAATCTAACACTCGCCAGCGTGCCGCGTTTGAGCTCGGATTCACAAAAGCTAAACCGTTGGTCCTGGCTGCGTTTCCAAATGGCGACGTTACACCACCGCAGTTAACTGCCATCCAGTTTTCAATACAATTTCGTTTGTATACTAGGGAAGTCTTGAGTAATGTCGTCACGGACATTTTTGAAGAGTTTTTACCCTACAAAGTAAAAAACGTTTTTGGTACCTAATAGTAATTGATCGTCTTTCCACGTTTCTGTACCACCAAGTGATTTCATTCCTTTAAAAAGCTGAGCATTGTCTGTCGTGGCAGCTGGTTGAAAGCCGAGAGAGTAATACATACTTACCCATATACGTTCGTAATTGGCGATCGTCGCCCCGCATCGCCACGTTTTACAAAAGGACCCCCACCCCAAATTGTTACGTAATACCGTTGAACGCTCCTGCGCGACGTCGCCATAGCATCCCGGTGAATTCGCGACCTATCAGTTTTGCGGCAAATCTGGTGATACTGTAATAAGCATTTGAATACAAAATTATTTGTAGAACAGGGCCTCGTCAAACGTTCAAGTGATTACATGCCACGTCAAAAGGTTCGGGGAGATGTGTTCGACCGGTCTAATAAGCACCGTCGCTCTCTTTTGAATTGTCTACTTTTTTTTATATGACAAAATATATCGTGAATTGTTTGTGTATGAATGTAATTTGATCACGTGAACGTTGAAAGTAACACAGCAGACAATAAATTAGTTATATCAAAATTATAGTATGTTTATAAATTACATCTGTTGATAAATTATGAACAAGTTTGAATAATAAAACTAAAGATATTATGTAGTTGAAAATTGAACCTTGCAAGGAAAGATTTCAGTTCATGAAAAAGGGACTACAGAATCGAACTACCATTCTATGTGACATAGAAACTGTCTATAATAAAAACAACCAATCAGTGACATAAGAATCAGTTATGACAATTTGTATTCACATTCAGTCCTAAGACTGTAAATTGAATCGGTTTTATCTTTCATACATTAAGTAATAAGGAATAAATATTTTAATTGTTAGAAATTTTTTTGTTTTCAATTTTTCGATACAGTTTACAAAAATACTTAAGATAATTTTCACCCTCTACGATCAATTCACATTTTTACTATAGAAGATTATTAGTATTTTTAGTTGAACTAAAAATATGCAAATACTTACAGCGAACGGTCCACAATTGTCCAACATCCTGCCCTCATCATCAAATATGTTAATGAAAGGCAAATTGTGACGTTTACCAATTTCGTAGTCATTCTGATCATGGGCCGGAGTTATTTTCACAGCACCTTAAAGTAATATATCATCTGTCATGTTCTTTTCGGAAAAAGGAAAATATATTTAGATTCACAACGAAAGGCCTAGGAAAGGTAGCGTTCGATTCACGCCACGAAATCCTTTAGAGACTGCTGACCCCCCGAGTAACCGCCGTAACGTTTTATAGTACCACAAGTATAATAAAGCGTTTCGTGATCCCGCCTAGTACTCTTATACAAAAAGTTACCATTATGTGGTGTAAAGTACTGGAAAGTTGAAAATAGTCTAACAAACGCGTAACTCAGGATCACCGCCCGCAAATTACGAGTAACGTTTTACAAAAGGACCCTCCTCCAAAATTCGCGAGATTATTGACTTGATTATAGCTCCCTTACAAATTACGTATGTAAAAAGGCGCGGCTAACATTCGAATTCTTGGAAGTGTAATATTTTTTAGAATAAAGCTATCACTCAGAGCTTTATACATTTGGTCATCGGACGCTATTACAATAGATATTTTAACATATACTAGTAAAAAAAAAAATTTGTACATGAGTGTTTGTGTAAAACTTATGATCACGTAATGGTCAAATAAAGAATAGATAAATATATAATACACTTACCAGTTCCAAAAGTCATGTCAACATAATCATCAGCTATCACAGGTAATTTTCTATTCACAATTGGATGGACTAAGCGTTTTCCTATAAACTTTTTATACCTGGAATATTAAAGACGGCTTTTATAAGGCTGGATAAAATATTTGAGTTGTTTACGTGAATTTAAAAACAATTTTCACTACATTCTCAGACTGACAACATCCCAAAAGACACCCTATTTAATATGTATTCCATCATTTTGTAAATTTTATGATAAATTTTATTTCTTCATTTTATAGGGGAAAATAAAGGAGTTTTATGATAAATCGATTAGGGTTCTATTCGTCCAGAGAAAAATAACACATTTTAAATAAACAATCTGTGCTAAAAGATAGAAAAGCTTGTTCACCTAACGTAGAAAATGGAATGTCATTTGTCAGTCGAAAAATGGCGCCATCTGTATTATGAATCGATTATATTTTTTTTCACAGTTTTTACAATTCGAATTATTTTAAAGAGAGAAAAATCTATTATTTCTTAACATATTTTTTCTAAGAGACATTCCTAATTTGTCCTATACACGAAAATCACTCACAAAAATCACAAACCCTATCAAGTATAAATAATAAAATTATATTCAACATAGCTAATAACGTTAATTTTTAAATTATTTTCACCAAAAATTAAAAAATATTACCTATCATCATTAGGGTTTACAGCCACAGCGACATCCCCAAGCATCGTTTCCACACGAGTGGTGGCCACCACCACTTCATCATCAGAATCCTCCATCTTATACGCAAAGTATACGATGACGCCAAACTCTACCTAAGACATAAGAGTTATATTTATATATTTATTCACACGTCGTTTCATTTATACAAACAAATAACATAATACATAAAAATTATGCAACGGGCTGACTTGTCGCTAACAAGCGATCTCTTCCAGGAAACCCTAATAAGGGAAAAACCCGAATAAAAGAAATATGATGGGTAAAGTGCAAGAAGAGTGATAATAACAATAATATAAGCGCATAGAAAATGCATGGAAAAGATTCTGGAGTTTGAAGGACATATTTAAAAATAAGGAAATTAGTATGGTTATCAAAAGGAAACTCTACAACACGAGCATTCTGCCTAAATTGACTTACGGCTGTCAAACTTTGACCTTAACAAAACCAGAAAACTTCAAACATGTCAGAATGCAATGAATAGAAGCATGATGGGGCAAAAATTTCTGACAGAATAAACATTGTATTATCAACAATAAAAAAAATCACACAATAACAAAAGATCTAACTATTACGATTAAAAAACTAAAATGGAAGTGGGCTGGGCATTAAAGCACACATGTCACATGAAGAGGAAGAGGGGTAGACAATTCCTAAGGTGGGTTGATGAAATAAGAGCCGTAGCCGGCACATGGACCCGAACTGCCCAGGTCAGAAATTTATGGTGGCAATTGGAGGAGGCCTTTGCCAACAAAAGGCAAACAGCTTTCTCATGTAACCATAATGATTTTTAGTTCCGAAAACGCTCACGGAGTGCTGCTCAAGAAATTCATACAAAAATGTATTGTTATTTATTACGGTACTATAACGCAGCGCAGTCGGTATTTGAACCTACGAACGCAAGGTTGAGATTACACTCTTAGTCTTACACTCGTAGAGCGTCTCTCTTTTCTAGTCTGAGGTCAAAATCCTACTCTAAGCTTAGATGATAATTATAATTTTTTAAACACACGTAAGTCCCTCAAAGGCCGGCAACGCACCCACTAAAATGGGTATCCATAGGTAGCGACTACCCTTCTTGGGGGTCCCGCAGGCTCGTTTGCCCCCCTATGCTATAAAAACACTGACCAGCCTTCTGTTCTTGATACATGCCGTCGATTTGTGGGTTTAAAGCAGTGTTTCCCAACATGGTGCCCACATCCCACAGGTGGGCAATTTGATTGTTAAGGGGGACTTTGGAAATTTCTTTAAATTATTTGTAATTTGAATTTCAGTTTTTCATGACGTTTTGAAAAATTACTTAGGTACTTATAAACCTATCATTTAACAAGAGAGTACTTAAGTGTTTCTTAAGTGAACAATTCCATTTTTTTATATTAAAAACTAGCTGACCGGGGAAACGTCGTTTTGCCATATATATCATTTATAATAAAAAAATAGGGGTTGATCGTAGAGGGGTGAAAGTTAGGGGTTTGTATGTATTTTTTAATGCTGTATCATAAAAACAGAAAAAAATATCTAAAAATAAAAAAAAATATTTAAGGGTGGACTACCCTTAACATTTAGGGGGATGAAAAATAGATGTTGTCCGATTCTCAGACATACCCAATATGCACACAAAATTTCATGAGAATCGGTCGAGCCGTTTTGGAGGAGTATGGCAACGAAAACTGTGACACGAGAATTTTATATATTAGATTATGAATGTTACATATGGGGAAATAATAATTTTAGAAAGGCTTACGTGGGGCAAGGCACAAAACAGGTTGGGATACACTGGTCTAAAGCATGACTGTTCTCTCACGAAATTCTCCTTCTCAGAGTTGACTTCAGCTACTAGACTAACTCTAAGATAGAGTACTCAAACTGATCATTGTATATTTCTTCTTACCTTATTTTCATACCCTGGTATAGCCAGCAGAGTTCGTCCAGTCAACTCCACTTTATCCACTTCGATATCGGAGATTGCACTTTTTAGTGTGCATGACCAATTGACGAGTCTATTCGCTCTGTAGATGTCCCCAGCATCATGTAATCTTATGAACGCTTCATTCACGGCTCTACACATTGTGGAGTCCATTGTGAACCGTTCCCGTGACCAGTCTAGTGAGGACCCCAGTGACCTAAGTTGTTCATAAATTCGACCACCTTTCCTGAAAATAAAATATATGACATCAATAAATAATAAGTTAATTTTTCATCTATATATAATAATGTTATGTTGGTTTGTGTACCCTTCAAAAACTCAAAAAGTTTTGCACAGATCGAGCAGAAATTTTAGCATGATATATAATCCGCATCAAGGATTGTTGATTTGATTATTCATCCCTCTTCAGTGTAGTAAATTTTGTGATATTATTGTAAATACTACATAAATTTACATTGAAAAGTTAGTACATAATTTTTTTACTGACTTAAAAAAACTGAAGGTGGTTATGAATTCAATGTGTAATTTTATTGTATAGCTCTTCCGTCCAAGAATAAAGCTATCTAGACGGTCAAAGTGTGAAAAACCAATGTTGTATGTCTTGTGACTTTTAAATCAAGCTATGACCATGCATGCTGCAAATTATGAGTAACATCAGTTTTTTAACTTTAAATGAAATATGCTTTTCCAATGTGTTTCAAACTTCAGTTCCAATGTGTACAGACTTCAGTTTAAAATATCTCTCAAAGATAGATATTTAAAAAAAATTTTTAAAAGTGTTAAAACACTCACTCTTCCTTCCAATTCCAAACACGTTTGATAAACTCTTCTCTACCTAACTCATGTCTTGTCTTTTTCTCTTCTCGCCACAGTTTCTTCTCCACAACCACTTGGGTAGCAATGCCAGCATGATCGCACCCTGGATTCCATAGTGTTGTGCGACCATTCATTCTGAAATAATTTCCAAAATGTAAAATTATTCATTTAATTTGCTTATGTAACAAACTACAATCTATGCCATCTGCCTGAGTCAGTGAAACAAAATGTAAAAACTATTGATTGTTATTATACAACCACTTTCTTCAATTAATTTGTAATCATGCACTTATGCAACCAGTTTAATTAGGCTGGGTTTGATTTCTGAGGAATCTAAGTTGGTCTTAAAGTCACATAAATTGGTTAGTTAGTTTACATAAGAACAGAGACAGTGCGTTGTAATCATCAAAACAGGATCAATGTGAATCTAGTTGAGATTTTGGATTCCCTAAACACAATCCTATATCCTATCACAATCTTAGGTTTAGCATTGTTATGAAAAAAAAGTTTTATTACCTGTGCCACCTCGTAATAGCATCTTCCACAGCATTAGTTAAAGCATGGCCAAGATGTAACGAGCCAGTTACATTGGGTGGAGGTATCACCATCACAAACTGACCTTTTGGGTTAGAGTCCAACACAGACTTTTTCTAAACATCAAAAACAAATTATCAATAAATATAATTAATTAAAAACAATTATAGGATATTATTGCGGATCTATATATATTAGATTTCTGACATAGCTCTTAGACTTTTTTTCGAAATTGGATGGTTTGTATGTGTGTATGCTTATTTTTAAAATCATTTAAAGGAATTATATTATAGCAATCTTAACAGGCTTTGTATAATACAACTAACAATATGACTATTAAATTATTGTTTTAAAAAGCAATATCTAGCACAGATACAGCTTTCATTGCAAAGTTTATGACTGACAAATGACATTTTACTACTACTAATACTTTTAATACCCCGTATTCTGGCTTGAAAAATCCTTGCTTGTCCCACCAAGCATACCACGCAGCTTCAACATATTTTGGACTGTAGGCATCTGGCATAGGTCCACTTATGTCTTTCCTTTCTCCAGCTGCAGTATTTGCAGTGTATACAGCACTTTCTTTGGTCTCCTTTGCTTTTTTCTGTCAAAATAAATTAACATTAGGCATGTAATAAATATTATTATAATAAATTGATAATAATAATAAATTGATTCTTAATGTTATAGGAAACACTGGCAGCTGATAAAATCACAATATGTTAATTTATAAAAGAAATGATGCAATATCGAAATAATACACGTCGATGATTCCTTTCACTATATCATAAACAATGTTAACCTAAAATGAATCAATATAATTTACGCTTTCTTTTAATAATACAGCTGATAAGGGATATGTAGCGAACGTAATGAATTAACCTCTGGCTTATCTTTTGGCACAGCTGGTGCAACACTCTTTTTATCCAATTTTGCTTTCAGCTTTTCTAATTTTGCAGCTTTTTTTGCTTCCTTTTCCAATTGTTTGGCTGTTTTTTCTTGAGGCTGGTCATCAGGTAGACCATTTTGTATGTTGTTTTCACTCATTTTCAACTCACAAATTCAGTCTATTTTAGTAAAAAATATTAATTGTACACATTTATACAGAAATCTTGTAAGTCGTAACACTCGTAGCACCGAACACGAAAGCACGAGATTCAAATTTCAAAAAGTTTATTAACATTTTGACAGTAAATATATAATCAATGTCAGAATGCACTATAAAAAACGAACACTAAATTTGTATGAAAATTTGTCGACATGAACTGTCATTTTCATACAAATTTAGATTTTGACTTTCTAGTTTCTAGACACACTACTGTTAAGGCACCTTGACTAAGCCCCAAGTATCGTAATTCGCTGTGAGTCTTATAGCCAATTTGCCATAGTTTACGTATTCATCTTTAGCTATAGAAGAAAAAATCCAAAGTAAAAAGAAAATTGTATAGTTGAAGTTGACGCATTATGAACTGAGGCTTCGGTTCATAAATCATATTTATCTGTCTGTCTCGCTCGCACTTACAGGTCCTATGGAGAGGTGTAGTGATGTGCGTAAGAATTGTAGAGGTGCATATAGATAACGGGATAGGTACGAACGATATGCTAAAGTATGTTAAGTATTAATAGGAATAATTTTTCGTTATATGAAAATAAAAGTTTTTAATTTTTAAAATAAAATGTTTGTTTCGACGTAAAGGGCCGTTTTTATCTTATCTAGAGATATTTCTTAGTTCTTCAAAAATCCTCCTCCGTATCTTCCCCATCTGTGTTATCTTTCAGTAGTTTAATTATCAGATGTAGTGTTTGATCTCTTAAAATAGTTTTGCATAAGTCCTGATCCTGAAGCTCCTCGGCATGCCTCACAATTTGGCCCAGTCTTCTTGAGTAACATTATCAATAGCGTTGTGGAGAAGAATTTCAACATCAGCAATGTTATATGTATGATTTTTTGCAGCAGCTTCTCCTTTGACTTGAGACTTAGGTCGATGACTCATCGACCCCGCGTGAGCAGGTAGGTAAGTATCGATAACGGGTTGCGTTGTATGCACATTCCTACTGTCAGCGACATTTATTGCCTAACGACTCAGTTTAAAATGCGCTGACTTTAACAAAAATAGATTCATGTAGTCATTAAGTCATTTCATGGCATTTCTTTCTCGTACTCTGTATTCCGATTTTCGTTATTTGTTATTTTCTGAATTTTGGTTGACAGCTGACAAAACATATCGTTCTCATCTGTACGGTAGCTTCCCTCCCCACCAGCTTCCTACCGCCCGTGGTCGCAAGTTGTAAACCGCGCGGCGCCAATCTTCGCCATTTTGTTTTTCTTGAAAACCGCATTGTCGGCACCCGTGTTGGAGTGCTTATAATTGTGAAGTTTTTAGTTTTTATTGCGATAATTGTGTGTATTTCATTACTTGGTTGTTATTTAATTTGATTTTTTCTAAGATGTCGGATCGAGAGGTAAGAATAACTTATTTGTGATACAATAGGACTTAGCTACTGTCCCCGAATTCAATTGTTATTTTGCCGGTGGCTTTAAACGCGTGGTATTTTACCATATTTAATGTGCTCATTTCAGAGGAGCCGTTCTAGAACTCGTAATGGGTCTCGCGAGCCTGTACCAAAGCCTCCAGCCATGTCTCGCCATAGCAGAAGCCGGTCTAGAACACCTCCCCCGCCTAAATCATCAAGTCGAAAATACAGGAGCCCGTAAGTCCGATGATTTTTTCTAGTCACCTCGTGTATTTTAAATTAAATTTTAGACAGAGAAGCAGTTATTGTCTGGAACTGTTAAACATTTCCGTAGCATTTTTTATCGATGTAACCTCGCTGTCAAGGCAACAAATTGCGCAACGATCAAACAATTTTAAAAAGCTAGTTTGATGACAACTCAAAGAATTAATTCAAACATTAAGATTTCACCTTATACTATGGAACTGAAAACAACTTAAACATAATAATTGATTTTTAAAATATTTGTAAATACATGAAATCACTCAACAGCATTTCTGTTATTTGGAAATAAATTTGATGTTTAAACAACATCTTTATCAGTAACATTAACATTGTATTGGTGATAAGGCTTGTAAAATTTTATGATTACTAAAATGCCAGTGATTTTATAGCTCAATACCAGAAACTATTAATATTCATACAAATGCATACCATTGATAAACATTTTAATAAACATAACCAACAATGCCCTGTGTTTATGTCAATTTAACCTGCCCAAGTTTTGGTTAAAATCATTTTAAGCATTGTTTGAAGACAGCAACTGCCAAAACCGTAATATCTCATTAAGGTACTAATGAGTACCATGTGATGGTTCATAATATGGATGATACTCTAGGTCGCGTTCCCGCTCAGTGTCACCACGTCGCTACCGCTCAGCCCGCTACTCCCGCTCTCGCTCCCGGTCATATTCGCGAGGCCGGTCCCACTCTCACAGCCCTATGTCATCCAGGCGCCGGCATACTGGTGACCGGGTGAGTCTGGTTAGTAATTTGAATAGACTCCGGACGTTTCTTCTTTGCTCACAAAAATGGATGCTTGCTTCCTATTTGTATTGTTGCCATAGCAACAGTATATTTTGTAAAATTAAATGTTAATAATCACATAAAATTATATGAAACTTTCATACACAATAGTAAAAGGAATCTACTACAATCACAATAATGGTTTGGTAACACATAGGAAGAATGAGCCGTAACCATGTGTTATTAAAGTTATTAAATTTTTAATAGCTTTTTGACAATGGAATCCATTGTTGAGCAATGAAAAAACGTCCTTGAAGGTTTAGAATAGAAATGTATTTTAAATAATTTTTTATATGTATTTACTTGTACTGATAAATGTAAAATTATAGATTAATTGTGATCTATCTAGTTGGTTATATTGTACAAATTACTAAGTAGAAATGTAAAATTGTATTTTAGAATTGTGTTCTAATCTAACATTACTTTCTTTTACCCCAGATAGTGGAGATTAAGAAGAAATGGTTGTGGGAACAGCCTGGTGTTTGAGATGCCTTGATTTTCGTATAAATTTTGAATGTGTTCTGCATAGTGATATTATTTGTCTGAGTAGTAAGCTCAGTAAAGCATGTCTCAAGTCTCATACTAGTCTTGGGGAATGTATAAACCTGGTTTGATAGATATATTTTCTATATCTTTGATTTAATCCTTTTTAAATTTTTGTCTTAAACTATAAAATTATTATTTTTACACATGCATTTAGAATAAAGAAAATTTACAGTTTTTTATGTGGCTGAAGGCCATATTAGTTGTGATTTTTTTTATAAAACTGAAACTACACAGGCTAATGTGTTTTAAAGACACCAGACTAGCCTGTGTAATATCCATATCACAATTTTTAGGGCTTGATGTTTTCAGGAGAACCCAACACCGTCCCGTTGTCTGGGAGTGTTTGGGCTAAGTTTGTACACCACCGAACAACAAATTCACCACATTTTCTCCAAATTTGGGAATGTTGACAAAGTTCAAGTAGTTATTGATGCAAAGGTATGTACATTAGATATAAACTAAATATTCTTTTTAATTTACGTATATTTTTTTTTACTTTTTATGAATGCTATTTAAAAATATGAAATAGGAAATAATACACAAGTTCAATTTGGTATATTCATAGGCTCTATAAAATATATTACCAAAAAATGCATTTTAAGTCATTGATTAAAAGTTTATAATGTATGTAAATTACATTCAAATTATTGTATAATACATAGGATTTAATTTATGACCTTGGTTGTAGCAACCATTTAGCTATGGCAATATTAAATCTTAGTCCCTTGAATTAAAAGCATATTATAGCTACTTAACGCCCAGTTCAGATATAGCAAATTCCTTTAAATATCATGTAGATATTGTAACTGGACTCGGCTACTAAAAACAGCTTTCTTATTGTTTGTTTACAATCATACAAATCACCTTTTGTTTATAGATATTGGCTAAGTAGGTAGGCGTGTAGCAACTGTGTTTCTATTCAGAATATGTGTCTGTATATCTTAACCTTTGCTTGTAACAGCATCCGGATATAACAAGAAAATTAGAGTGATGCTCTGAATGTTACATATACTCTTAATTCAATCTTTTTAGACTGGCCGTTCCCGTGGATTCTGCTTTGTATATTTTGAGTCGCAAGAGGATGCCAAGGTGGCAAAGAACGAGTGCACTGGGATGGAAATAGACGGCAGACGGATTAGGGTTGATTTCTCAATCACACAAAGAGCACATACTCCTACACCAGGGATATATATGGGCAAGCCTACACAGTAAGTAAATAAATATAAGTAAACAGATACAATATGAATACTGTCATTAAAATAGTGCAATTAGATATTTTATTTTATATGAATATGGGGGATAATATGTACAGGAAATTAAACTAATTATTAATTTTAGTTTACTGTTGTAGTTCTATAGGTTTTTCTAAATCAGCATATGTACTGAATATAAAGTGAGAAAGGTAAAAATTCATTACTTAAGCTATCAAACCATTAAAAATGTATTTTAAAATATATATTATATAACCAACATAGAAATGCTTGTATGAAACCATTCTTCTACGAGTTTCCTTACTGTTGGAAGAGTAATAGAGTAGATTTAGAGAGGGCAGACTTAAAGTCAGGTCAGCTCACTAAAGGCCTACTTTTACAATATAATATCATTTCGTTTATTATCAGTATTTTTTGCACTCGTAACAAACTTCCATTTCATTAACGGAGTCCGTCTTGGATGATAATATATTATAAATCTCTAAAGTCTGATTTTGTATGAATTAAAGATAAATTTTATTGTGAATTGATGATTATTCCTAGTGATTATCATATCCGTGTATCATGCAAAATACCGACTTGTTAATAATAATTTTTTTTAACAGGAAAATAGGTATCTGTATTATTATTTATTTGTCAACTAAACTAAATGCTGTTGTTTATTTATATATTTAAAGTATTTTACGAAATTTTTGAGATGTAGATTTTTTGACAGCCTTTCTGTGTTATTTTTATAATTTGCCTTCGTCTTTCTCAAACTAACATTCTTTTGCAGTTTGAACCGAGGTGACAATGGCTATGAAAGACGTCGGGACCGAGAGTGAGTAGAGTCATAAAGGAATATATTCTCTTTATTAAAATACTTTAATGATAGTGATTTTTTTATTGCTCAGCACTTTATTAATAACACTGGATTTTTTTTATTAAATTTAATTAAACATTTTTGATTTAATTTTTTTTTAATAAGCATTTTAATACTACACTTAGTGTGTGATAACGACGAATCTTCACACATTGTATACACATTTCAGCGACTACTACTACCGCGGCGGTGGTGGTGGCGGCGGTGGCGGAGGCGGCGGTGGCGGCGGCGGCTACAGGGAGCGAGACTACTACGCGAGGGGATACCGGCACCGATCTCCGTCGCCGCACTACCGCAGGTCGCGGCGCTACGAGAGGGAGCGGTCCTATTCGCCACGTAAGTACCACGCCATCAGTCGCTACAGCAGCGGTACTCTGACATTTTGACATCAAATTACTTTAACGATTAAAGACTTGTGCTATATCCCTATATAATTTAAAAAATGATAACCATGGTAACCAATATAGTGCTTTATTCGATATTGTATGACAGAATGTATTAAAAATTGTGTTTTTTATACTAATTATAATAAATATAAAGCGAGGTTAGACTTCATTATCTATAATTTGACATAGTTATCACATTGTAAATATTGCCCAAAAATATACTAGTTAGATTTATTCGAAATAATTTGTATCAGTTTTAAATAGTCTATTGATATTCATTTTCGCTATTTTTACATTCAACTTATGTTCTACAGAAGTTCGGACAATGTGAAGTTCTAGAGTATTGCTTCTTACATAAATGACTGAAAGCGCCAAAACTTACGAATGTTTGTATAAAAAAATAACTGGTAGTCTGTGCTGAAAGAAAGCCGGTTGTATGTGCGGGACTAATATGATTCTTATTTATGCTTAATTTAATTAAATTATATACATTTATCCGCCCTAATAATCGTTTTCCCCTCTATATCGCGGAGATTTCTCAAGTTATATTTCTGTAGTGTAAGATTTATAATAATTTGTGAACATTTGCAACCTGTTTCAATTGTGTTATAAAATTAAACTAAATAACTTTTATTAAATGTGTTCCTAGTTTTTGAATTGTTAAAAAAAAACGGTTTTACGAGAACTACTAACTACCGCGTTTACTAAATTTTCATAGTAATTATTAAGAACTATGACATTACAGCATTGTCAATATAAAAAAGTAATTTAGTACTCCAGCGACCTCAAATCTCGCAACGGTGTTCTTTCCGCAAAGACTTATTTTAATTAAGTATACAAATGTTTTTGAAAGATTTTGTGCTTTTTGTTCTTAAAATTTCAATAATTAGTTCCCTTTTGCTCTATATTTTATTAGTTAATCGCATTTGACACAATTGTTAACCATTTCATATATTATAATCCTCAAAATAATTTAGATCTCCACCACCCTAAGCATTGTTTACACTCTTAAGGTAAGTATTATTCAGGTTGCTGGAGATTTTAGAACTAGAACCATATATAGGTACATATATGTATTGTAGTAAATGTTTGGTATGTATATATATATTTATAGTATAGCGATGCCCGTCTCCAGTATAATAGTCGCGTGTCGTCGTGTATCGTGTATTACATGGGTTTTTGACTTTGCAGGTCGGTATTAGGTTCGCGACGTGACGTCACTTCAGCCATAACTTTTAGCACCCAAAGCCGGCCATTGCATTTATTGAACCTGCCCTCGGCTCAGCACCGAGTGCGGGTGCGATGAGGGTCCTAGTTGTAAGCAGCGCTCAGACGCCACTAGATGTACTTCTAATAAAGATTAACATTAAAGCTAATATTGATTTTGTTTGTTTGAAAAGGTATTGAAACAAGAAGTAAAGGATGAAGTTCCTTGAAAAACTAACTGTGTTGAAGTTTTGAATGTTTGAAATGTATCGGTGGCCGGACTGCGCCGAATTCTGCCTGAGCGAATTAAAAGAGTATGATCACGTGAAGCACGGAAGATCGCCCTCAGATCATAGTCTTTACATACGTTTACACACACAGATATTTTTTAAGCGACTCGTGCGTATTTCTATTCGATTCCGTAGATGTAATTATATTTAGTTTGGTGATATTGCATTCTAGTGTAGACTTTGTGAACGAGTTGTTAATAAATAATGATTTTTTCAAGTCATGGCTCTTCATGGTTCATTCTGCCCACCCGCTCTATCCATACTATCCTATCCGTCTGTTTATTGAGAGCTTCGGATGATCACATTTGGCCTATCTATCTATATATAAGAATTATAAGCTTGTATTCAAAAACGTTAAAGATCTGTCAGACATGTTCCGGAGTCACAGAGATTGACGTTTTTGAATACGAGCCGTAGTTGGGAAAACTATTTGTGTATGATATTATCATTAGCATTCAAATTCAGTATTTCTAGATTTCATTGTAGGGTAGATTAAAAAACTCATGTATTTATTACTTTTATTCTCAGTACACATACATGTTAACAAAAAATCTCACTATCGGGTTTTCAAGTTCTTAATATATGTATAGAAGTATAAATAAATATAGCATATAATTGGCACTTCTTTCTACGTGGAATGCGGTGATTTAGAACAAAGTAGAAAACTATAATTTCACATTTTGGACGCCTCGTTTCTCTAGAGCAAAATCTTAAATAACAAACTAAACATATTTTCTTAACAAATTCCGACAACCGTCTCGATCGATTAGCGCTTGTATCTGTGGCTTTTGAGTGAGATTCTGAAACGAGAGATGCGGGAACTAAGACTCCATATTCGATACATTTTTGGCGCACGACAGTCATCGCTATTTCTCGTTTCTGATCTTAGGGGTAGTGTTTTACATATTCACTATTTAAGTTTGTGCTTCAGTGAATTTTGAACCATCAACCTATTTAAACTTAGGTTCAAAATTCAATGATACGGTAACTCACCCTAACATTGAACAATAACAAATAATAAAAAGTATGAATAAAAAAACATAAATTCTACAAACAATTCTTCAACACGCGCAGTTTAAGAAATGCAACATAATACTGCAGTAACAAAATAATTAAACATAATTTAAACTATCTTATTCTAAGCATTACTCCACTTGAATTCAATCGAAAGTCAGTACAAATACAAAATGCCTTAAACAACCATAAATAAGTAATAACTAGATTAAAGAGCTGCAAAAGATTGGAGCAAAGGAGTCCTGACGACGCTAATAGGAATGGTAAGGACGTTGTAGGTAAAGGTTAATAAAATGTACACTTAAAACGACACGACTGAGGGTTGCCATGTTTCATACTTAAAAAATTCTATCATTGTTTCACCTTGGAGGTCATGTCAAGTTTGACAGCTGTCAATACTATATAGTATTCAAATTTAGTGAGGTGAGTTTCGATACTCTGTCCACTGGCACATTAAATTTCATTTAAGTCTTAAGAATTCGATGGCCTACTGAATAAGGAAATTTAAACCCAGGGCCTATGTACTAGACGAACTAAACCTACTTAGCGAGCATAGTACGAATATATCATTCTTAGCCTCAAACTAAATCTAAACTAAAAAGCTACAAGACGGCAAGCTTGAGCAGACTAGCTATAAAGAATGGCCGGAACAAGCTAGTAATAGCATTTTCACGTTACAAAATGGCTGGAATTACTGCATAAAACATAAAACATCGGACGAATCGCAATAAAACTATCAAATGTAAATAAAGATTTTTAGATGGCATCAAAGATATGTACGGATCCTGTTTATTCTACATAGGTATATGGGGCACCGACCTTTGAAAAGAGATTTAAGAAGAGTTTCATAAAGTCAATGTCGTCTGAAGTAAAACCAGAGACAAATTAATAGAGTGCGAAAGAGTCTTCTCTTGACAAAGATAAAGTGCAAAAATTTGCTTCGAGTAACAGTAAAGACCAAGAAAACTACGCTTTTCTAGAAGATATTTGAGTCTGTTATAAGGTTAAAACTACATTAAGAGTATTTCTATAGGAAGGAAGTCAATAGCCATATAAAATCAAACATTTACATTCCTAGTGAAATTAAAAATTCTAGCCTATACTAATTGTATCTACAATTACTAATATCCGAATACACAAAACTTTCAAAATAATAACTTGTCGATTAAACGACAAGTTAAGTAGTATATTTTGAGTACATACTCAAGTTATTTTACTGTCCAGATTCAATTAAGTCTGAACACATTTTTTCATAAATAAAAATTCCTAGACGAAATAAAAATCGTAAATATAAAGTAATGCATGATTTAAATATTGTTTGGAATGTAAATATTAAAAATACCTTTAATAAAATATAAATACAAGTGGAATAAATAACTTTTACCACAACAATAAATTGGGTTTGGAAAATTGTTGAGTTGTGATGTTATGTTAAAATACTGAATTGGTTTTTTTAAAAACTGTAAAATGATCCAGTAAAGACTAGACTTTTTGATATATCACTGTTATATTTCTAAAAATTCTCTGCAAAATTGAACTGGTTTCGAGATGTAGATAACATTTTCTCATAATATTCAACATGTTCCGATCTTTAAAGTTATTCAAATTTTTGGAGGGCATCCTCCGATTCAAGTTTTTTACCTCACTTTTGTGGGAATGTTTTTGTAAATCCGATCTATAGTATTAAAGCCGAGTGGTCCCTGTGCAATCTTCGTCTGGCGCGTAAAGGAGCAGTCGCGAGAATGTCGGAAGGTGGAGGAAGGCCGGGCTGTCTCTGGCCATTTTCTTGGTAAAATATTTGCGATTTCCCACAGGACACTCCTAACACTACACTGTCTTCGCTCCTGCAAATATATAAACCAATTTTATTTGTACAATTGGTACCGTAGCTGGTAGCAGCCATATTCTCATTTATACTAAATTAAATTTCTCTAAATAAAAAAGGAAGTTTGGTTTTAGTTTTTATCAATTTATATTAAGAGCTGATTAACATAAACATTAAAGGATGGTTCCGAAAATCAGCGATTCAAATTAAATTCATTTAGGAGATAAAATATTATACTAAAAAGCTTGGCCTGGTGTTCAATTATTATTTTTTCATGATACAAGATAAGCCTATGTAATTTTTTTTATTTTTTTATATAAAAATTTTTTTTATGGTTTATAGCGTGACAATCTATATAATAATATCTTATAAACTTTTTTGTCATTTATAAAACGTGGTTTTAGTTGCCATGGTTACCATTTATATAGAAATAACACCGTAACCATGGTAACAACTAGTCAATGTATAAGGCCGAATGCGACTTGAATAAATGAGTTTGAGTTAACAAATAGGTACTTTTAAAATATCAAACATTTAATGTTCTCGACAAAAAATACAACCAATAAAATATCTACCAAAATTGGTTTTATTTTTGGAACTAAACTAAGTGGGTATTTTTGGAAAGTCCTTGGTCCCAATAAAACTGGATATCGAAGGACCAATCGTACTGATAAAAACGAAAATGTTTGTCCAATGGTCATTTACATATATGAGATAAAACAAGTGCATTTTTATTAAATAATTTTCAATACAAATACTGTTTATATAGTTGAAAGGAACGCTTCTCTAAGATACCTACCCTTCGTCTTTATAAACTGTATTTTTATCGTCATTTTAAACATTCTTTATACTTTATTCGCATAGAAACGTACGACGAAACCCACTCGCTTTCTCAAAGTTTTTTGCATTGCACACTTACGGTCTAATAAACGCACTAAAACGCCCAATTAAAGAATTTTCATCATAATTATTGATAGAAAAACAACGTTAGTTTTTTCTGTTTCAGTTAAATGACTATGACTGCTGTAAGACAACCGAAACGTCTAGTTAATAATAAATTCATACAAGTTTTATTAATATAAAGTCGATTTAAAAACTAGCTATTTTGAAGTAAAAAATCTTACCTCAACATAAACTCCGAGGTGTCACTGTCCTCCTCGAATTCGTTGTGTATGAGCCCCATAGTCGCAATGTCCATGGCAGCCCATGGGCCACCTTTCTTGACAGTTCCCCAATCCGGATCCAGCATCAAGTAACTGTAGTCGTGGGCCTCAGGTCCCGCCACAAGTGGGTCTATACATTGCTGCTCGATTGGACCTAATGCGTTAAGTGATGTTTCCCACTGTAAAGAATTACAGAAATAAAAATAAATATTGATATAAAAATGTAATGTTTCGTAGTAGAATGGATGAACTAGGTGGTGTCAGGAAGTCAGTATTTTTATGATATTTACCCAAATTATATTTAATATTCAGTTCTAAAATAATTTAATTTAAACCAACTAACAAACATATAATTAATACGCGCACTGTAAAGCCTTATCGGGTAGCGTTTTTCAAGACGCACTTTTCAATTACTTTAGCCTTTTTTTAGAAATTCAAGATGGAACTCTCAATGACAATTTTTTTGAAAATATATATAACAGAGGGCTCTCCTGATGTTAAGTGATACCGCCGCCCATCACTCACATTGCCTGAAGGTTCGCAAGTGCGTTGCCGGCCTTTTAAGAATTGGTACGCTCTTTTTTGAATTGGTTCGGCAATAATTCAGTGGGCAGCTGGTTCCACATAGTGGTGGTGCGCGGCAAAAACTGGATTAGAAAACGCTCAGTTGTGTAACGACGGACGTCGAGGTGATACGGATGGTATTTTGTTTTATTCTACCTCGACGTCCGAAGATGAAACTTAGCAGGTATTAATCCGAACAACTCCTCTAAACTGAACTCTTACCAAGGAATTAATAGTTTCTGGATCATTAGCTGCCTCAACATCCATGAGAGCCAACAGCGCCATATTGTGTAGTCCACTCACAAAAAGAGCGCATTTAACTGCGTGAGCTGTATAGTCGGGTAACATTTCTCCTTCAGCATCTGATTCACTATCAGACTCGCTGTCCCATTCATTTCGGATCGGTTTCGATCTGGAACTGCGCAAGACAACCACATTTAAAGCTTTATTGAGTGCTTATTTATAGTCTTATAGTCGTTTGTTTAAAATTCTTTGGAAATATTGTACCAGATAGTAGCTAAATCAAAGATTAAAATAGGTAGGTAGATGTGAATAACACACGATGATGTTGGTGAAGGAAAAAATAGAATGTATGTCTTAGGCCGAAATATGGAGCATCTGCTCGCTTAGAGAAAAAGGTAAAAAGAAAGAAAGAACGATTAGGAATCTAGGCTTCAGGTGATTAACATTTATTTATCTAAGCTTACATATGGCCAAATTTAAACTAAAAATTAATAGAAAACCTTTTGCTATCTATTAATCTTTTCTAAGTATATTTTAAATCATAGTAAAAAACACCTATACGTTTCACAAATAGGTCGATCTCCCGCGAAGAGTCTAGAAAACTATTAAGCCGCGAGATTAAGCTGGGAAAGGGAACTTACCTTTCGCTAAAGGTTATCTGTTTCTCCAAGCCGGGCGTCAAAATATCCCGTAACTCCAACGGCGTCATAACCCTACTACTGTATCCACTTGACTTGTCTGAAAATGCTAGATGACTCAATTTTTCCATAAGCGGTGTTAACTGAACACCAGATAACTTTTTCTTAAAACCTACATCTGAATCTGTTTGTTCTGTATTTAGAGATTTCAGGGGCAATGATAGAGATTTCCTTCTAGACTGATCCGTCACGGCCAGGGTCTTTGTTGAGTCTTTAACTACTTTCTTCGGCGTTCGCTGAGGGGATTTCGCCAATTCGGAGTCAAAATCTTGAAATTTGTCCAGTTCACATAATTTTAGATTGAAGTTAAACATATTTTCTTCCTTCTTGTCTTTCATTCCTGCGTAATACTGTTCGAGATACTGGTTAAATAGCGACTCTGAGATCGCAATGCCATCATTTCTGAATACTGGAAAGGAGGGGTCATTTATTGTAATTGTGTTTTGGTTCTTCCGTTGTAGGGTAGGTGATAAATCCAGCGACTCTTTAGACTTTAACATGATTTTAGATCCATTTCTAGAGATCTTTTTAAACGTCTCTTGCAAGTCGGTAACACTGGCTAGCTTTCGTAAAGGTTCTGGTTTGTTAATAAAATGTTCTGCTACGCAGTCTGAATTAAGTACCGTTTCATTATCTCGTTTTTCTTCTACTTTATTTTCTATGCTTTTGAGAACGTCCGGTTCTACATCTGATTTGTCCTGACTTTCGAGATTTTGACAGATCGAGAGCATATTTCCGTGTAAGCGTTTGTATTCGACCATTGGTGTGGAGCATACACTGGTCTGTCCCGTGAATACATTTTCATTTTCTTTTACATCTTCTTCGAGTGACTTCTGGTTTTTAAAGCTTAGGGAGAGTTTGTTGGGACGTGATCTTGGTTTGTTCGCGAACGGGACGACGTCAGGCATACTGGGTTTTCTTTTTTCTCCCGGTATCTCCTCTCTATTGGGAGGCGAGATCATCGTGTGGTCCTCTTCTGGCACGGCTGTGAATAATAACGACTTATCCCTTTTCATGCCTGACTGAGGGTGTTCTCTAACTTTTTCTTTTTCAATTTCTTGAGCCTGTAACACATGGAGAAAGTAAAACGCCGAGTATTTTAAGGAAATCTACGTTATGTATGTTCGACCATAGACATACCTTTTTGAATCCGTTAACCATTTCTTCTCCATTTCGAGCGAAGTCCTGCAATTTGCTAGATTGTTTCTTCAAACTGTTGTATGTCTTTCTACCGACGTATACCACTAATACTTGGGATCCTAGAGGTAAAGGCGTATCCGTCTCAAGCGTTTCTGCTGGAGATTTTATTCGATATGGGTCTACAACTGTTATGTATGAGGTCAGACTTGGTGGAAGTTGAGTTGAAATTATCCTGTAAATAAATTATTTTTTATCTTCTATTGTTTTAATATTTTATCGAGTGCGGGAAAGAAATGATTAAAAAAATAAAATATCAAAATCATCCCCCGGAAATTAACTAAAAAACTTTTACGCTATACACTAGAGTACTAAACCGTACTTTAATATAAAACAGTTTATTGCCTTACATTTCGTTAATAAATCAACAATCATATTGCTTCACAACACTTTAAATATGTAGAATTATTAAACAAAACAATTTTCTGTTGAAAGTGTTTTATTACTGGTTCGAACGTGTTCTCATCACATTGAAATAAATGTAAGAAATGCAAACTGGGACGTGTGACTGTCGGCGATTAATAATTTAAAATCTAAGTTACATTTATGCTTACATACAGTTATAGTGATTACAGTAAATATTTACTCATTGATATTATTGAAATGTAAATTATATTAAACAATATGCTAGGGTTGAGCAGTGTTGGCCTAGTGGGTACAACGTGCGACTCTCATCCCTGAGGTCATATGTTCGATCTGTGCACCAATGGACTTTCTTTCTATGCTCATTTAACATTCCTTCGAACGGTAACGGAAAACATCGTGAGGAAACCGGCTTTCTTTATACCCAAAAAGTCGAGGGCGTATATCAGTAGGCTGATCACCTTTTTGCCTATTAGGCTAAGTTCAGATGACCGCGCGGTACCCGCGAACAGAACCCGCGGTACAAGATCAATATAAACGTAATTATCGTCTACATTACCCGCGGTACCCCGCCAACCCGGCGCGCTCCGACCCGCGCGCAAATCTTGAACCGCGCGCTTCCCGCGGCCGCGCGCGGCACAAGTTTTGCAAACCTGTATCGACCTGTTCATTGATCCGCGCGGCTTGAGACGGAAAGACACATAGATCGATGCAAAATTAGTACCGAAGATATGGTATTAAGTATTTGGTGATATGCAATATCTTATAGCATCTTCACTGGATTTTAAATCATTTTCAATAGAATCGTATAAAAAATCAAAGGATGCAACTGACATCCGGAAATAGTTAAAAATTATCTTCGTGTAACCTCAAGTCGGGATACAAAGTGACAAACAGGCTGGATGAAAGTCTGTCACTTAAAATTGGATGCACCCAGTATCGTCTTTGTCTTCTTCTACGACGTCTCAGTCTTCTATATAAAATCCATAACAAATTGCCTCCTCCACGTCCATTGTCAATCAATGTTGAAGCCACGCTGCCGCGCGTACATATACCATCATGTGAATGCTCCAACCGCGCGGCGACGCGCAGCTACGCGCGGTCATCTGAACTTTGCCTATTAGTTTGACATATCATGAAACAGAAAAGGTTGTAGCGCCACAATTTTTTTTTACAAATTAATATAATTGTTACAGTGCTTAGTGATGAAATGTAATATATTAAGATATGCTCGTGAGTATCCAGGGCACCTCAAGGGCTTTGAGAGGCTGTTAAATTATGAAAAAGGTTATAATATAGGTTTTAGGTTAATTTCTCTTACTTTACTGGCGCAAATTAGAGCCAGGAAAATGATGTCTTGAGCGCTACCAGGGAAATAACTTCATGTTGACATTTTATTAATAGTTTATGGCCAAATCAGTAATGCTAATTGAAATACGAGTTTAAAAGACTGTGCTGTGAGATGTCCCTTATAATAATACTAATAAATCGCTTATTTATGCCTAATACAATAAAGTCGTATTGCACAATATATACGCAATGAAATTCCTAAGTAAATAACTCAAAACCCGTTTTGAAAACTCCCTGTTAAAGGTTCCATTAAAACAACTCATTAGTGGCAACCTTTATATGTAGTGATGATGATGCGTGTACAAGAAACTTAACACTAGCTTAATTGGAAACTGGTAGTCAATGTAAATTTAGAATCTTAACATCTTTTCTGTTGTCGTTCATAAGTGTACTTGTTTATCTATATGAATAAAGTTATTTTGAATTTGAGCTTGAATGAAATGCCAAGGTAACTAATATTAAAAAGTTCGTTATTGATTAGGGACGGTCCAACGCGGACCGTCCCGAATATATTATTTATATTCCCTATTGAGTAATAATTAACTTAGGGATAATATAGCATTCTAACAATGAAAGAATTTTTAGTGTGTATTCGTTAGAAAAATACTCCTAGACAAATATTATATGCCTATAATATTTATTAATTATTAATGATAAATATCTCTATATATATGTAAGGAAAACATAATATTTAATATTTTCCTATACAAACTCTTTTATATTTTATTTTTCTTCTTTGCCGTCTGATCGACGATGTTTTATTTGTCACTTGACATAATAGATGTAAGATGTTTTAATTTTTTCTTTATATTATTTTATTTTATAAAACCTAGAATATAGGCTTTAAATGTTGTTTCTTTTGTATTCACAGAGAAACGCAGTTGCGCCTTATTTATCCCCAGTACTCGTATAAGCGATCGATACCATTATATATATATATAAAATTCTAGTGTCACAGTGTTTGTTTCAATACTCCTCCGAAACGACTGGACCGATTCTTATGAATTTTTTTATGCATATTCAGTACCTAAGTCTGCGAATCGGTTACTATCTATATTTAAAACCCCTAAGTGATAAGGGGTGTCCATCCCAAATTTATTTTTTATTTTTGTAGTTTCAAAAATAAAATTCTTTAGGCGCGTTATGAAAAATTTATGAGAGTGAAATTTTACGATGCGCGCGCACCGTGACTCAAAGTTATCAGTATGGGCGCCGAGCGTGCGCGAGCGATATGGGAATAAGACAATCTACAAGTTAAAAGAAATAGAATATGCGTGACGTTAGCAGCTATGCCAAGAATTTTGAATGACTATAATGACATTTGTAGTACCTTTTAAACAAATAAAGGAGTTGTATTTATCTTTTCAAAGAAATTTAGCAATGCTTTTTCACAAAGACCTATTGTTACTTAGTTAAAAGGTTATGAAACCTACCTAGTTATTAAATTGAATTAATAATATAATAAAATAATAATTATTATTAATATTAATTAATCATTGAATAATATACTAAATATTAAATATTGTTAAATTATTAACGCTAAATATTTATTATTAATTATTTAATATTTAAAAAAAATGAAGAAAGCCAAAGAAGTATAACTTCTTACGCGCGTACATAAGTAGTACACGCACCATTTCTTATTTTTTTTGTTTTTATTTTTTTATGATACAGCATAGAAAGCAGCAGAAATACATACAACCCTCAATTTTCACTCCTCTACGATCAACCCCTATTTTTTATTATAGTAGATATTTATTTTTATTGATCTAAAAAAATGTTTCCTAGAAATAATATACATGGCAAATCAACGTTTGCCGAGTCAGCTAGTACTTAATGATACACGCTTTAGGCTTATTTATTTTACAAAAGCAGTTCAAAAGGGCTAAAATTTCCTTAACACGCAAACTAAAAATAAACAAGACGAGTCCCAAAATAAGTGCCACACCCACTTAATGAATGAGACAACTGTATGGAAAGGACCAAGAGGAAGAAGGAGAAGAGGTCGCCCAAAAAAAGGTGGATAGAAGAGGTAGCAGGAAACGAATGGAGAAACAGAGCCATAGACAGAGTCAATGGGAAAAAGCTAGAGGAGGCCTTTACCCGTGAAGGGGTTCCGACGGTACTGAAGGAAGCTAGGATATAGGATAACAAGCAAAAAAAATGTAAAATAATCTAAGCTGTGTATTATAATTTGTTTTTGTCATGATTGGAAATAAAACGGGCTTTATTATTATTATAATGAATGAGAATTTATTTTTGCAAGCGAACAGATATTGACTCTTAGTTACATGAATGATGTAATAATTATAATTCTTTCATCATTCATGTAAAGATTTCTTTAACATCACCTAAAACACAACACACACATGAATAACTCGTCTTTGTTTGTAACATTTTTATAATTCTAAGAATTAGCAGAAGAACGTGTCGAGCCAATATAGAAAACGGAACCAGTTGGCTCGTGGGGTCATGAGCCTCCTGGGAGCTACACTATATCACACTGTTTTAATTATGGTGTAATAGATTCTGTAGAAACAATCCACATAGGTCATACTAATCCGCCTTTGAATATAAAGGTAAAAACTCACTTATTATTATACAAAATGACGCCTCCCAAAACGCCTTTACTTCGTCGACACTGCTCCAATATTTGCATCGACTCCAAATAAACTGATGTGGCACTCTGCAAAAATAAAACACCTATTAACTTCAACGCTAACAGCGGCACTCAGACTAGTTTACGTAAACAGTTACTTAATAAATACTGCTGTGCGGTGAACAGGGCACAATTTTTATCTTACATGGAAGATATTCCGCAGATAGATCCTCTCGATAATTTGAAACTAAACTATCAGAGATAAACTTCAAATTACCAAGAGTTTAAACAAGCGAGAGGTAGGGGCTCATACAAATAAGAGTTGGATCAAAATTTGTGATTTATTATTTCTATATTATTAATTTTTTTACAGAACAGGGGCAAACGAGCAGGAGGCTCACTTGATGTTGTGTGATACCGCCGCCTATTGACACCCTCAATGCCAGAGGGCTCACGAGTGCGTTGTCGGCCTTTTAAGAATTGGTTTATGTTATGTGTTTTTATATTTCAAAAAGTCCGTAATCTTTTTTGAGTGAGCGACTTCAGTCTATCACTGTCCAAAGAATTAAAAAAAAAACATTTGACAGGTCTGTACATCTAGGTATATATTGGTATGTTATTGAAGTTGTACTTCTTTAGGCGCGTTATGAAAAATTGATGAGAGTGAAATTTTACGATTGCGCGCGCACCTATGACACAAAATTGGCAGTGTGATATAGCGTGCGCGAGCGAGATGGGAATAAGACAAACTACAAGTAAAAAGAAATAGAATATGCGTGAAGCTAACTTCACGCATATTCTAGCTTAGCAGCTTAACAAGAATTTTGAATGACCATGACAATTGACATCTGACAATGACATTTACCTTTTAAACAAATATAGGAGTTTTAATTATTGTTTAAAATTAATAATTATATACCTAGTTATTTTCATTATACAAAATATTTGTGAAATAATATAAAATATTTGTGAAAAAACTGTGCTAACCTTCCTGAGTGCTTCAATACAATTGAGGTTAACTATCCGTATGTATTATCGAGTATTATTGTTGATTAAAACTGAAACATGAACCATTATTCATTGCTTTTGTTTATTGCGTTTGTTACAGCAACTTTTTAGAAATATTCTACGACCCTATATATCAATAATTGAGAACAAAGATTTAAGCACGAATACTAATAAGGAGAAAATGAAGGCTTGGAGCGATATAACAGAGAAGTAAACATTTTAATAAGTACCTGCATCTCAAAAAAATGACCACATTATTTAATCAAAACATCAGATTTAATCTAGCAAATATAAGGACAAGAGACAAAAAACAATTGATGAATCAGTGGAAGTGCACTAAATTGAATACAAAAAAAGAGTTGTCATCTTATCGCCGTGAAACATCAAAAACTGGAGGTGGAACAAAGCCACCATCACCTTCTCGAGACACAATGGTTTGAAGTAGATTTCAATGAATTTGATTGTGATGGTGTCGAGGTAGGAATGTTAATTATAAATATGATGTATGGTGATGTTCAAGGTTCAACCTTTCAAGCATAGGCATATGCTTACAACATTACTTTATTCCCCTACAGGGTAGTTAGAGATATTGTAATACCTCAAAACATCCATGTTGCACTTGTAGTACCGAAACTCTGTCCTGCCAGAAGTGAGCCCATTCCCACTTATAATGGACAGTGGGTATAATACACCTTAATACCTGAGTGCGAACCACTCACCATGATACTTAAATTAATAGATGTTATTTATATATTTCAGGTTATTACAAATAAAATCATTTTGGAAACAATTGATATCCCAAAAGCAAATAAAGCCAACAATGACAAGGTAATAAATCAGTTTTGACATAACTTGAATACTAAAAAAGCCAAACAAAGGTGTGCACAACAGTGACAACATAACTTAACAATTTCATTATTTTGTAGGATTAAAGAAAGGTTAAAGAAAATCATGTCGAACTGAACAACAAGAATCCCCAAACAACTCCAAAGAAACCTACAAGGAAGACACCGGTATTATATTTAAATTATCTCTATCTCTAAATAGAATAAAAGAAAGTTGCTATCCAGGTCTGTAGCATGTGCTACAAATTATATTATTAACACATTTATATAATTATATTAATATAAATGTGTTAAAAAATTTATAATATGAATTATAAAAAATTTTAAGTTTTGCATGGACAGAGCTTAAATTAATATTCTCTTATTTGTTGCAGAAAGCAAGTAGTTTTGGAGAAGCCTCGTAGATGCACAACCAAGTAATGATTAATTTAAAATTACAAACCGAAATTCTGATGAAGACATTAGAGTCACTTAAAAATAAATAGTATAATGAAATAAAAATGTTTTAAAGATAAATAGTGTTTTATTTGTTTAATGTAAGAGAATAATAATAAATATTTATTTAATTAATTTTTCAAATGTAAACTGAACTTTATTGACTTTAATGACTCCTTTTCCAGTCTTTGATTATTTAATTGTAATTAATTATTTGCATGCAATCAAAAACTATTTTTAAGAATGCCAAAGAAGTATAACTTCTTACGCGCGTACATAAGTACACGCACCCTTTTTTAAAGCTGGCGGCTTCAACACATTTACACTTTGTGCTTATGTAGTGTCTGTGAATAAGCGCGAGGCGTGATGTCAAACTGAAATACAATCACAAATACATCATGAAAAGACTGTCCGTCTCTCTCGCGCTCGGTCAAGCTTATGAGTATAAAAGTGACAGTTATTTTTTTGCTTTTGTTACTGTTTATCTTTACTGTACATGTTGATCTTTTTTCAAACATTACCAGGACAATCTCGTGAAATGGTGCACAGTGTTTTTAATTATTTTAAGCAGTTTAATGAAAAAAAAATTATTTTTAATTTGACATCAGATGCGACTGGGGTTTCTAAGAGGAGTATTGAAAGAATTGTTAGTGAAGTAAAAGTGAAGTGTGTTGAGCTAGATGGAAAATGAAAAATTATTTACACAAACTACTCTTTTACGTTCTTGGTCGGGCTTAGAACTTTTGGATCCACCCCCGTATGCACAAAATATTTATATGAATTTGACACATTTTTATTTATTTACAACCCACCCGACCTTACTAAAACCAGAGTAGACTAAAATATATAGCTTGGCAAAAAAGTCATATTTTTAAACATAGTGTTTAGTGAAATTGCATTAGTGTGAGTACTGTGAACGCGCCAGCTTTCGATAACCGACCTATAAGCAATGAATGATAAACACTTCAAAATATAGAGTAGGGAATCCAGGACTTCAAATTATCGCATCTTGGAGATACTATTACTTTAACTTCAAATTACCGAAGGGACTATAATTAACATTGGTTTTATTTAAATTATCGAGTCGACTGTACTGTATCCCCGAATTATTTTTACATAGATAGAATTTCTCCATAACTTTTACTGCCTATGCTTCGTTTAATCAGACCTACCTTCAGTCTACGTACCTGATTTGCACCAGTTTTATAATTTAATCGACATCGATCACGGCTGAGTCATTGCCTCGTTCAAATATAGATACACGACCGGATGATTAAAATTTGCAAATATCGACTAGGCTATTCCAAGCGGAGTTTAATCAATATGATTATAAATCAATATTGAGATTTATTAAATACAAAAAGAAACCAATGACGCTGCATCCCTTTGTCTTGGCTTCAAATTTCTGTATCTTTCGTAAACTTTTTTTTAAATGGGCAAGTAGGCGATCAGCCTTCTATGCCTGACACTAAGTCTAATGACGTTCCTCACGTTGTTTTCTTTCACACAAGCGAGTATTAATTGCGCACATAGAAAGAAAATCTGTGTGAAAATCATGTTCTTCGAACAACCCAAGGGTTAGGGACTCATTTCAGCTTTCTCTGTGTCATGGTCAAATTAAATCATTATGCGAAACCGCTTAAAATTGTGTTTCGAGTCGTTACAGTTAAATTTGTTAAAAATAAATAACAATTACGTTCAGTTTTTGTGTACGTCATTCACATAAAAAAAGTATTTAAACTCTCGTAAAACTTAAAACATTACGTCCCTTTGAAGCCTCAAAGGACTGAAAGAGGATTGTGACATTGTCAAAAAGAAAAATTAAGCATAAAAGGAAATTGCGAAAAATAGAGCGCTCAAATAGCGGTTCAAACAACGTCATTAAAGTAGAACAAATCCCGCTTTGAATGGGTATAACGTGAATTGTTAATTTCGTTATCTGATGGAATTTTACTGGAGCGAAATCGTTAATCCCGTAGCACTTGTAATCAATGTAAACATTGTAGTTATCTTGTAGTATCAGCAAATACACACAATCATTTCTAGAGTTGCACCTATTTTTAAGTGCTTAAAACAAGTTACAATTAAACAAGAACGAAAAGTTACAATTTAGATGTGTGTGTGTGTGTATACACATACATTAAAAACATGCTGCTCTTCAAGATTTTGCCGTCAAATTATAATTAAACATTTAAAGTAACTTAAATAAAAAAAGAAAATAAATATATTTGTTTCATTTACGACACGAATTAAAATTTACTGATTGTACACTACAATCTAAAAGGATTATGACCAGTTAACGTTGGCGAATATTTCTTAACTTACGACTTACCTACTAAAGAAAACATTTGAATTTTAAATTCGAAATTTTCCAAGTTTGTGTGACCTTAATTTCTCCAGTCGGCTTTCACAAGGTAGTTCAATTCGACACTTGTCTCTTTAAGTGTTGCCAATTGGATAAATTCAATTTAATAGGAATCCATTGAATTTGGATTCCTATTAAATTGAATTGTTATGATTGGAATCAATGCTTTGTTTTTTGCTTTAACAATTTTTGTTATTATTATTATTTTTTTTTAATTTATATAATGCTACAAATGTAATTATTTTTTTTGTATCTCACACACTGTTTTGTTGTGTTTTTTTAATATTTTTATTACTCTTTAATGTTAATATTCTAAGGTTTCGATATTTGTAAATATGTGAGGAACATGTATACTAACTTTTTTAGTATAGTAGTTTATTCTAAGAGTACATTGTCTTCACATATAATTATTTAACAAATGTAACAAAATATTG